GAGCAAGATTAAAAGCTCTCAAGTCCTTGAAACCAATTCCACCTTCAGCCTTAGGCTTACACACATCTTTCCATGCTTTCCACGGGATTTTTTTCTCTTCTTTCTACTGTCCCCACCAGAAACTAGAAATGGATCTCCTCAATTCATTTATAATGCTTTGAGGGATCAGAAAGACTGACATGGTGTAGGTAGCTTGACCTTGTGCCACTGCCTTTATGAGCACCTCTTTAGCTGCAATTGATAGGGAATGGCTTTTCCACAGCTTAACCTTCTTTCTTACTCGATCAACTAGGTTACCAAAAGTTGTTTTCTTCTGCCTTCCAATAGTAGTTGGTAAACCTAGGTATTTTTCATGCTCAGTTACCTGTTTCATACCAAGAATTGAAGCCAGTATGTTTCTTTGATCTGCTCCCACACTAGGGCTGAAGCTAATTTCTGATTTTTGCAGGTTTACCACCTGCCCTGATTCCACTTCATACACCTTCAAGATTTCCTTCAAAGCATTACACTCTTGTGGGGTAGCTCGCGTGAAGAGTATGCTGTCATCAGCAAACAGCAGGTGAGATACTGCTGGACCCCTGATAGAAGCTTTTAGGCCATGAACTTTTCCTTCCCTAGCTGCACTTGTTATTAGGGCCGAGAGGCCTTCCACACAAAACATGAATAGATAAGGAGAAATAGGATCTCCTTGCCTCAGACCCCTCTCTGGTATAAAAGTCTCAGTCTGGTGACCATTGACTAGTAGTGAAAAGGACACAGTTGTCACACAGTTCATTATTAGTTTAACCCATTGTTCTGCAAAACCCAATTTTAGCATAATGGCCTCTAGGAAAGGCCATTCCACCCTGTCGTAGGCTTTAGAGATGTCTAATTTTGCTGCCATCAGCCCCTTTTTCGCCTTGGTTTTCTGTTTCATGGTGTGAAATAGCTCAAAAGCAACCAGGACATTATCTGTGATGTATCTTCCTGGTACAAAGGCGCTCTGTGGTTCATCAATGATCTGGTTTAGGATGCCTTTCAATCTGTTTGCTATCACCTTTGAGATGATTTTGTAGATCACTTTACACAGGCTGATTGGCCTAAAATCTAGAGGTGACTCTGGTTTCTTCTTCTTTGGAATTAGGGTTAGCAGAGTATGGTTGAGTTGTTGGGGAAACTCTCCAACCTCGAGATAATTCTTAATTTCCTCTTTAATAACTGGCCCCACAATACTCCAATTTTTCTGAAAAAATCGAGCAGACATACCATCTGCCCCAGGAGCCTTGTTTGGCCCCATCTGCTTCACAGCAAACCAAATTTCCTCATCTGTATATGGCCTCAGTAGCTCCTGATTCATTTCTTCAGTGACTCTGGTTGTTACTGCTGAAAGAACTCTGCTCTGGCTGGGTTGATTTCCAGCTGCAAACAAAGTTTGCAGATAAAATCTCAAGCAATCAGAGACCCCTTGTTGCCCTGTAAACACCTGTCCCGCCTCATTTTTTAGCCTCTTAATGGTATTTTTCCTTCTTCTTTCAGAGGCTTTTCTATGGAAATAGCCTGTATTGCAATCCCCTTCCTTTAACCAGTCAGCTCTCGACCTCTGCTTCCACTTTATCTCCTCCTGTATGATAATGTCATTCAGTTCCTGCTCAATTACCCTCCTTTGGATTTGGACTGCCTTTGTTTTCTTTCTCTTTTCTAGAGCACGAAGGGCCTTCTCTGCTAATTTCCTCCTCTCTTTCAATGAACCGAAAGCTGATCTACTCCAGGTCTTAAAATTGTCTTCACAGCTCTTGATTCTATCTAACAGTCCTAAGTTGGGATTAGCAAGCCAACTTTCTTGAACTGTTTTGCTATAATCTTCATGCCTTTCCCAGTAGGGCTCATATCTAAAGTTCCAGCCCCAAGTAATCTCTTCCTCTTCTATGTTGAGTTGAATTTGTATAGGGATATGATCTGACCCGCACCTCTCAAGATGGTTAACTCTCATCATGGGGAAATAGTCCAGCCATTGTCTGTTCCCCACTGCTCTGTCTAGTCTCTCCTCTGTGTAATCCTCTCCTGACTTATTGTTTTCCCAGGTAAAGATTCTACCATAGAAACCGCAGTCCTCTAAGTCACAATCTTCCAAGGCTTGGCGGAACATTTTCATTTCTCTGGCATCTGGGCCTCTGGTGCCACTTTTTTCCATATAATCCATCAATAGGTTAAAGTCCCCTATGACCAGCCATGGCAGTTGAATCTTATTATGTAACTCAACAAGCAAAGAACATGTCTTATGCTTATTCTGCCCTTCAGGCCACCCATAGATACCTGTTAGGCGCCACTCCTTATCTAATAATGGCATTCTGATTTTCACGTCAATGCAATGCAGGTCTGCCTGATTTACTTCCACCTGCACATCCTCTTTCCACATCAGTAACAAACCCCCTGCTCTATTCTCCCCAGCATCCACACCAATTCCATCAAAGTAACCAAAAGTTTTGACTTTCTGTTTACATTCCTTCTCATACAGTCGTGTTTCCATAAGGAACACGACCTCGGGATTTGCTTGGCGAAGAAGAGTCTTCACCTTCTCCACTGTCGGGGTGTTTCCAAGCCCCCGACAGTTATAGCTCAGGAGACTCATTGGGCTGGGCGGCCCTGCTCCTTAGCAAGGTCCGCCTGTCCGCCAACCATATTATTTTGTGGTTCTGAGAGCTCTGCATTTTGAATCTCAGGGAAAACAAGTGTCTTGGCCCTCTTTGACTCTGTGTTTTCCAGATTTCTTTCTACTATGTCAGTCATATGTGAGTGTAAGTTCCTCTTTTGGGGTGTGATTTGCTCATGGGATGCTTCTCTGGCCTTCCCCTGTTCCTGTCTCCTCCATACTTTCCCTGGTTTCCTCTTCAGTGGGTCCACGACTTCCTGAGCTACTGTGAACTTCCTCACAGCGCCTTCCTGTCCAGTTGCAGGCTTTCGGTGGATGCCCCTTTGTGCGTGTTCATTGATCTCTGCTGCTTGTCTAGGAACCTTTTCCTTAGTTGTATTTTCTTCAACCAGTTTCCTTCCAGTGTCATTGCTAGTCTCCATAGGAATAGGATCGGCAGATTGCTCATGTGGCTGTGATTCCACTTCTGAAGTCTTATCCTCTTTTGCTTGCTCAGTTGGTTTCCCTGAGTTGGATCCTGAGCTTTCTAGATCAAATTTCCTCCTGAGTTGTCTCCAGATATCTGAATCTTCTTTCCTGGCCCGGTGTGACAACCAGTTTCTTGGAGCAGGGGAAGCTGCTCGCATATCAAAGCCATAGGGATCAGTGGCCAGTTGAGATGGCTTTGGGCATTTTGTTTTCACATGCCCTATTCTGCCACAGGAGTGGCAAAAGATGGGTAGCTTCTCGTATTTGATTTGAAACTCCTTGAGCTCTCCACCAACATTGAGTTTAATTTTCTTCCGTAGAGGATTATTGATAGAGATACTCACTCTTATGCGCATGAAATCATCCCACATCTTCTCTGAACTGTCATCAAAATAGACAAACTCTCCAACTCTGTTTGCTATCTTCTCTGCCATGGATAGGGTTCTCAGTTCTGCTGGGAATTGATTAACCTGTAACCAAATTTCCATTTTGTGCAGATCTTCCGGGACAGGTTTTTTGATCCACCGCTTGCCATGAATAACATGGCATTGCTCTCATAGTGCCAGGGGCCTCCGTAGCATACCTTGTTTCGATCGTCCATCTCCAGAAATTGAAAGGCGAAAAGGTTATTTCCTAGCACTGTTATCTGGTATCCTTTTTTCAACCCCCAAGCTTTTGTTAGGGCTATTCTCATCGACTGAATATTTGGTTCTTTATCTGACACCAGGCGTGCTACAAGCCCTAGGTGCATGACTGCCTCCATTCGGACCACATCAACGTCAGCATCCTCTACCTCTAGGGGTTCCTCATCGTCTTCATCAAGGGTGATCTGATTCAGTTGGTCTTCGAGCGCCTCTGTTGGATCAGATCTAGTCTTTGCAGCTTCCTGCACGGCTGCTTCAGCCTCCTTATCATTGGTAGACGCCATTGCACTGCCCCCCCTCAACAGTTGCTCGCTGTATTGCTTGGGACGCACGCTTCGAGAGGACGCCGCCACGGAATAGGGTTTTGCCTCGGTGGTTTTGCTGATAACTTTGGTGAGAGAACACAAGAGTGTACAAGTAACTCTTTACTACGCCTGCAATAGCTCTTTATAGTTTCTTGGATGTTGTTTCTCCCGGATTGGGGAGTCCGTCACTGAGTTGAAGATGGAAAACCTAGGTTTCCGCCGCCACGAACAGCTCTCGATAAACGAGAGAAAAAAGGCTACCCCCTCCCCCTCTAATCAATGACTGATGTTAAACTCAAAATTAACCCATAAATTTCAAGATCCTATACTTTTGAGGTAGTTTGCTTGCTTGATTTGTGTGACAGATTTGCCATCCAAATTCCAAGCATGATGGATTTAACCAATTTCATTATTTGTTGTATAAAAAATATGGATACAAATCTGTGAGGCCCATGAATCTGGACAATTTTTTGATCCAAATTAATGAACCCCCGAATTTGTAAATCCCATCTTTTATTTGAGATTTGATTGATGGAAGGCAAATCTATGAAGCCCTTGATACAAAAGCTACAAATCCATGATAAAAAAAAGCATCAACACAAACGATACACTTTTTCAAATTCGTAATTCAACAAATTCATCACAAATTATACGATTTTAAAAATTAAAAACCTTCATTTTAGAATCCACCAACAACAAGCCAACAAGCAAACGAAATGGTCAATACTTGGGTGGACCTTTTTCGCCGGCGGCAGTAGGGGGTGTCCACCACGCTCGTCGGTTAGCGCGTGGCAGGGGAAGGGTACGCCGGAGAAAGATTTGGGGGGAAACTACTTTGGAAAATGGTGGTACGAATGACGGCCGCTCCAAACCTTTCCTTCTTTCTCCTCCCTTCCTCACTCTCTCTCTCTCTATCAAATCCTAAGATCACAGTGTTTAAATTAGTTTATAACGGGGACGATGAAGTTTTGAAGAAGAAGGAGGAGGAATGCCGCTTACACGTTCGTTCACCGCCGTTTGCCCAAACCAAATGCGCTCTCTCTCTCCCTTTCTCTCTCTACTGTCACTCTATTCTCTGTCTCTGTCACAAACTCTCTCTCTCTCTCTCTCTTCATAAAACCCCTATCTCTGGTTTTTTTCGTTTTCCATTTTCCTTCTCTGAGCTCTTATTAATAACGCCATATAGAGTGAGTACTATACTACTAGTAGTCCTTCACGCCAATTGCCTGTTCACTGAGCAGCAGCCCACCCTCCATTCTCTCTCTCTGCGCCCACACACAGTGACACTCTTCCTCCTCCAAACTTCGCTCCCATTCTTCTTCGTCTCTTTCCCAACCATGGTAGTATTCCCCTGTTGACTCCACTCCACTCCACCTTCTTCTCGCCTCTGTTTTTCCCGATTCCGGCACTCTTGTTTCGTGGGTCGGTGGAGGAAGAAATGGACGGAAATGGGTTCTTCATCGAGCAGAAGAAGCTTCTCTCCCGGCGTTTTCTGGTGCTCGGAGTTTTCCTCTGTCTGGTTCTCTGCCCTCACGCTTCCTCGCTCAACGACGAAGGTTCGTTTTTTTTCTTTTTCGTTTCTCCTTTTCCCCGATTCTGTCACTTTAACCGTCCCCTGGTTTTCTTCAATGATGCTAAAATGGCGGGTTTTGCAGGTAGAGCTCTGATGGCGATCAAGGGTTCATTCAGCAACGTGGTGAATATTCTTTCCGACTGGGGCGATGTCCACAACGAAGATTTCTGTTCATGGCGGGGAGTCTGGTGTGACAATCTCACCATGTCTGTTGCTTCTCTGTAAGTTTCTCCATCTCTCTTCCACTGTTTTTTTTTTTTTTTACCCCAGCATTTTCCTTGTCTGGCTCTGGCTGTGAAGCTTTTTGACTTTATCTTGCCCTTTAACTCCAGGAACCTCTCAAATTTGAACTTGGGTGGTGAGATTTCTCCTGCCATTGGAGACTTGAGGAACTTGCAGTCTCTGTAATACTCCCCTGCTAAGAGCTCCATTACTGAACTCCTGTACTCTGTTTTTTTTCTCTCTCCAAAGTTTTGACTGAAGTCTTTGTATTGACAGGGACCTTCAAGGAAACAAGCTATCGGGTCAAATCCCAGATGAAATCGGCAACTGTGGTTCCCTTTTTCATCTGTAAGTCTCTGCTTCACTGATGCTGCTCCTTCTCCCCATTTTTTCCCCACCTCCGACGTGATTCTTAAGCGTTTGAATTTTTTCCGTTGGCAGGGATCTCTCCGATAACTTGCTCTATGGAGATATTCCATACTCCATTTCCAAGCTGAAGGAGCTGGAATACCTGTACGTACCCTGAATTTCTTCTCTTCCAAGGCTCTTTCAAAATAACAGATTCTCACTATCCCCTGCAAGTTTTGCAGGAACTTGAAGAACAATCAGCTCATCGGTCCCATCCCCTCGACTCTGACGCAGATTCCCAACCTCAAAACAATGTCAGTTTCTTCTTCACAACAACCGCATTTTTGCGTGTTTCTGGCTTTAAGTTTCGCCAAAACGCTTACGTTTCTGCCTCCATTTCCAGCGATCTTGCTCGGAATCAGCTAAGCGGCGAGATACCCAGATTAATCTACTGGAATGAAGTTCTGCAGTACCTGTGAGCTTCATGGAAAAATTAACAGAGTTCACACTTATTATTATTTTTTACCTTCGTCGCCATGGGATGAGCTCTGAACTTGTATTATGTATTGACAGTGGGTTGCGTAGTAATTTTCTGACTGGAACGTTGTCCCCTGATATGTGCCAACTCACCGGCTTGTGGTACTTGTGAGTAATTTCAACCCATATCTTCATTCGAAGTTATGTTCTTATCCAGTCCTCTTCGCCATTGATGGATAGCAAAGTTAATGCAAATTTGTTGTTGTGTTCTTCAGTGACGTGAGAGGCAACAATCTTACAGGAACCATCCCTGATAGCATTGGCAACTGCACAAGCTTTGAGATACTGTAACGACCTTTCAGTACTTGAACTTTCAAAGTATGGTTGTGCTGTTCATCTGGGTTTGGTGAAATGTGACTGATTAAGGGTGGTTGAATTGTTGCAGGGACATATCATACAACATGATCACAGGGGAGATTCCTTACAATGTTGGCTTCCTGCAAGTAGCTACTCTGTTAGTGTTCTTTCACACCTTTTCCTGCCTTCTAGGGTTTTGGTTGCATCTTTCATGTCTTTCTAGTGACTGATTGTTTGTTTCTTTGGTGACTTATTGCGTATTTGCTGTTGTATGTGTTTAGGTCACTGCAGGGGAACAGGCTTACTGGGAAGATTCCCGAGGTCATTGGTCTAATGCAAGCTCTTGCTGTTCTGTAAGTGTCACATTAACACTCTTTAAATATAGTCTACACCTTTCTATTTCAAGCTTTTGATTGCCTTCCTTCCTCCCTTTCTAGTGATTTGAGCGAGAACCAGCTAGTTGGATCGATACCACCGATCCTAGGCAATCTGACTTACACAGGCAAACTGTAAGTTCTGGTGTTCTGTACAGTGATACTTCATCTCTGTTTCATGGATTACTGATGTTGGTGTTTGGTGAATAATTAGGTACCTCCATGGGAACAAACTTACTGGACCAATCCCCCCTGAACTTGGTAACATGTCCAAGCTTAGTTACTTGTAAGAGTTCATTCCGATTCCAAGTTGCGCATTGATGCTTATGTTGAGTAGCCAAGAATTGTGGTTGAGCAAATAGGATTTCTGATAATTTGCAGGCAACTCAATGACAATGAGTTCACTGGTGGCATTCCCCCTGAGCTTGGCAAGCTGGAGCAGTTGTTTGAATTGTGAGTGTGTGTCCTTTACTGATCTGTGTTCTCAAATTCGTAGATTCCCACAAATTGATTGTTCAATTTGTTTTCCTGTGTCAGGAATCTTGCCAACAACAAGTTGGAAGGCCCCATTCCTCACAACATCAGTTACTGTACTGCATTGAACAAGTTGTAAGTTTCCATGTGTATTGACCATCTCCTTTCCTGTGCTCATCTGAAATTGGAAATGTGAACAGGTTTCTTACTGAGTGCTGCATTCTTCATCTTGCAGCAATGTTTATGGGAACCGCCTCAATGGAACAATCCCTCCAGGATTCAGAAACTTGGGGAGCTTGACTTACCTGTAAGCTCGTGTAGTTGACTATATAGGATAGGCGAACATTGTCCTGCTACTGTGCTCTAATGAATGTACTTGTTATATTCCAGGAACCTTTCACTGAACAACTTCAAAGGCAAAATTCCTTTTGAGCTTGGACGCATTGTCAACCTCGACACACTGTAGGTGTTGTGAATTGGTAGCTCCCATTTAGTTTCTCAAACTTTTCGGAATTGATCGAGGGAGAAGTCTTAGAGTTCTTGTATTCTTTGGACTGTTTTAGGGATCTTTCTAGCAATAGCTTTTCTGGGCCTATACCAGCTTCTGTTGGAGATCTGGAGCACCTTCTGATATTGTAAGCAACCTACATTGGTGTTTATTGCTTTATTGCATACTGCTTGCTGCTTCATCTAAACTCGTTTGGCTTCCAGGAACTTAAGCAAGAACCACCTTGGTGGACCGTTGCCAGCTGAATTCGGTAACCTTCGCAGCATTTTAATCATGTAAGTTCCCAACCCTTTGGTCACTCTTCTTATCTTTGTTCTGCATGCCACTGATGGTCTCTTACTTATTTTTGTCTCCAGTGATGCTTCTTTCAACAATGTCACTGGAACCATTCCCATCGAACTTGGTCAGCTGCAAAATGTTGCTTCCTTGTAAGTATTAAATTTATATGTCCCTCAATTCACTCAGTCTCTGTTTCTGCCAACCAATAACATCCTATTAATCAAACATTATAATTGGCAGGATTCTAAACAACAACAGCCTGAATGGACAAATTCCTGAACAGCTTTCCAACTGTCTCAGCCTCACCAATCTGTAACCATCCTTCCATCTTTTTTTCCTTTGTCCCAAAATCTTAAAGCTCATGGAAATCAGTACTCTGAAACTACCTTTCCTGTGTTACTAGGAACTTTTCTTACAACAATTTGTCAGGGATCGTTCCTCTGCTTCGGAACTTTTCTCGATTCCCAGCTAACAGGTATAGCAGATATCTTCCAATGTCTTCCTAATCGTTATCCTCTCGTTATACTTAAAATAGTTCCTTTCGCTGTGTCAGCTATGTGGGTAATCCTTTGCTTTGTGGGAACTGGGTTGGCTCCATATGTGACCCTTACACTGTAAAGTCAAAAGGTAACAGCTTCAGCTTAACTTTTCAACATTTCATTGAAATAGACTTGCTCTGAACTCTTTCCCTTCTTCCATCCAGCAATATTCACAATGCCTGCAGTTGTCTGCATAGTGCTGGGAGTCCTTGCTCTACTCTCCGTGGTCGCACTTGCTATCTACAAATCCAAGCAACAGAACCTGTTGGACGATGCCACCAACAACTCATTGCAAGGTTTTTTAGTTCCATACTTGAGTGTACATTTCTGGCAAACCATCATTTCCTCCCTTTTTGTTGCCAACGTTTGCTCCTGTCTTCTCCATTTTTTCAGGCCCTCCAAAGCTAGTGGTGCTTCACATGGACATGGCATTCCACACCTTCGACGACATACTGAGCTACACCGAGAACTTCAACGAGAAGTTCATCATTGGCTGTGGAGCTTCCGGCACAGTGTTCAAATGCGTGCTGAAAAATTCTCGACCCCTCGCAATCAAGCGACTCTACAACCACAAGCACCCCTACAACCTTCGTGAGTTCCAAACCGAGCTCGAGACCATCGGCAGCATTCGTCACAGAAACATCGTCTCTCTCCATGCCTACGCATTGTCACCTTCTGGCAACCTCCTCTTCTACGACTACATGGAGAACGGCTCTCTCTACGACCTCCTCCATGGCGTGTCCAAGAAGGTGAAGCTCGATTGGGACACACGTATCAAAATCGCAGTTGGCACTGCTCAGGGACTCGCTTACCTTCACCACGACTGCAACCCCAGAATCATCCACAGGGACGTCAAGTCGTCGAACATTCTTCTCGACGAGAACTTCGAAGCTCATCTCGCAGATTTCGGTGTGGCCAAATGCATCCCGACGGCGAAATCTCATGCATCCACGTTGGTTCTGGGGACTATCGGCTATATAGACCCTGCGTACGCCCGAACTTCTCGTTTGAACGAGAAGTCCGACGTCTACAGCTTTGGCATTGTTCTACTGGAGCTTCTCACCGGGAAGAAGGCTGTGGATAACGACTCCAACTTGCTTCAACTGGTAACGTTTTCTACTAAATACACAACTAGTTAATAACAGATTACTGAATTGTCTAGCTAGCGAGTCTCTCAGAATTTAAGAAACGTTCTTGTTCTGTTTGGTGGTTATTAGATCATGTCGAAAGCTGACGACAACACGATAATGGAGGCTGTGGACTCGGAAGTTTCGGTGACGTGCATGGATGCGAACCATTTGAGAAAGACTCTGCAGCTGGCTTTGCTGTGTACCAAGACGAACCCTTCTGAGAGGCCGGCGATGCATGAAGTTGTGAGGGTGCTGGTCTCGTTTCTGCCACGTCCGCCGATGAAGGGTTGCTCGCTCTCGTCAAAGGGTATCGACTACTCGAAGTTCGTCGTGGAGAAAGAGGAGAAGCCACTTGGTGGATGTGAGTCTGTTCAACAACAGCAGCAGCAGTTGCAGCAAGAGAACAACAACTCTTCTGATGGTCAGTGGTTTGTTAGGTTCAGAGAAGCTATATCTAAGAACACGTTTTAGGTAGTTTATCTACAGTTTATAACCAAACTAGGGAGGAGAAAGTAAGTGAGAAGATCCCAAATTTTGGCTTTTGGAAAGGTATGATGGTGATTCATGGGTTCTGTACCTCGATCCTGGGTTTTAAGGCTGGGAACCAGCCTCGGGTATTGGTTTTTGTATAACTGGTTTGGTTTTGGTAGGTTTAATTATCGTATACAGGCAGTTGTAGAAACTTGCTAAAAGCTTGCTGACATTTACACTTGGTATTAACTTATGCACAGAATGGCCACCTGCTTACATTGAAGTAATTACATGATTGCCTAGTTATTTTTCTCTGTTTGTGTTGAAAGTCTAAATTGTTGCGAAATAGATCACTACCATTGTTACATCTTAAAGCTACTGATGGATTCAAGTCATTTCAGGACCCACGCACTTGATGAACTAGATAATAAACAGCAGGAGGGCCCCCTGAAATCCTGAACTATATACTGATACTAGATAGCAGGAGAGCCCCCTGACGTCCTTTTGCCGATGGAGCTAATCGGTTGTTATTGTGTTAGTGAATTGGCATACTCCTATGTCAGGGAAAAGCAACGAAAGTATTCTAATGTTAGGAGAGGGTTAGAAGAATCCAGTTAGAGGTGATCAAAATTTTCGTGCATGAACCGAAGTGGGCTAACCTGTTATTGTTCATGTGGCATCCAAGGGAAGAAGATATGGTCTTTTCATTTCCACAATGGTGAAGAATCACAGGTCCAGGCCAATGCGGTTTCATCTAGTTCAGCCAGCGGAGATTTCATGAGAGTGATGGCCAATGCAGAAGCAAGGATTATTTGTAGGTGAAAGTCACCGACCATGGGAAGCTAGTGTACCTCTTTCTCTTGATTCGAGTCTCTCCGTGTGTTCTCTTTCGAGAACTTTGATGCAGAAAACAGGCAAGTATACAATAGTTAGCTTATATAGGACATATATGATATATACATTCTGAAATTGGATGAAGGGTTTGAGAGGAAAACCTCAGGATGAGGATGTACTTTTGTCTGATGTCTAGTTGCAGAATGAGGTTGAGACGCTAGGGAGAGCTGGTATAAGCATCAAGAGTGGAACAGTGAAGTAAGTCCAAAGTGTTCCACCTTTTTCACATGAAATGAACCCTAAGAAGAATCTGAGGGGAGTGAACCTGATTAAACTCATCTACTGGAGGCTCATCCAGGTACCTCCTTTTGTCTGTGCTCTTTAATTCCTGAAGTTGGTAGGGAGGGCTATCCGATTAAATGTGACAAAATTGAACTACTAGGCCATTGAGAATTTACAGAACTTTGGACTGGTTGCAGGCTACCTTCGTTTTGAGAGATCGAGTTCTCCCCTGTCGCTCCTGTTTGTCCCTCTGTGGAGGACCACTGCATCAAAAGGATGAACCCTGTGAAAGATCTGGTTGTTTATAACTTCGTGGTTATCACAGCATCCTGCAATCTTACCTGGTCAATTCTCTGTTGTGTCTTTCAGACGAAGATTTCGAACGGGGTAGCTTTACTCCCTGCAACAGAAAGCTTTGTCTGCTCAGGTTTACAACCAGACCAATTAAACATCAAAAGGGTTACAAACACCTTTCTAGTCTAGAATTCTTATTTGAGTTGCATGGTAAAATAAGTATGCAACTTACTTGAAGTTCTGGAAGCTGCCGTGTGGACTTCCTAGGGACAGGCAAGGAAGGAGCCTTATAAAGCTGCCAAACCACAAAAGAGTTGGGGTAAAGATCAGAAACTGTGTAGAAATTTAAGAGGGAAATGAGAGACAACTCAAATGCCGTAGCCTGTAGGTGAATGTAGAGACCTTTCCATTCAATGGTCTTGTTTTGGCAGGAGAAGTACTGGGTTTTGCAAATTTTTCAAACTCCAATTTAGTTTTGGACCTGACGATTTTCAGAGAAGCAGGTATCTCAGTAATGAACAAAACTGTAAAATGAAGGTGGCTGCAAGGTTGAACAGCATTACCTCCGTCGCTCTGCTCTAATAGCTGTTGCTAGATTTGGTTGTACAGGAACTGTAGCTTTAGGTCTACTTGAGGCCTTGTTAACTCCCTGAGAATCCAAGACCAACCACTGAGCAAAACTGACGAAATGTAACAGGTGATGACGAAATGTACACTAATTCTGGAACTAACAAACCTTTGGATTTGATTCTTTGTGTGGGAAAAGAGCTTGATGCTTCAGCCGAGCACCCTGAAACAACATTGAGATCAAAACCATTGTCGCTCCCGGTTTGGGCCCGAACAACTAGCAACAAACAAAGACAAACCCAGAAGATTGAAGAATGTAAAACGACCATTGTGCTACCTTGCGCAAGTAACCAGCCTCCAGCTTTTGCCTTTTGGTTGCTGGGATTCCACTGGTAGATGAACTCCGCGAACTCCTCCCCTCGCTTTTGGTGGTGTCCTTTGGAAACCTTACCAAATCATGAATCACCATTACTCAGTATGAACTTATTTCAGCTAATATATAAAATTATAGTTCAACAATGGTTAGACTATCTTAGCAAAACCTAGACCTTCTGAGCAATCGCTCGCACTGAATTTGCTCCGGGGCCAATTTCTTGGCCAAGTGACTAGCCGTAGGGTTCATGAAACTCGAACTTCTTTTCTTCGCTGCCGGAGATTTAGCCCGCGATTTCGGTTGACATTTGCAATCGCAAGGTTTTGATCCTGCAACATTTGCGAGGCCAAATTTGAGCATAATCCGCGTATTTCAAGTTCCTGAAAGAAAAAAAAAAACATTCATCTGAGGGGGATCCAAAATTACCTGATTCGTCGTTATCTTCGTCTTCTACGGAAGAGTTCGTTCGGCCGGAACTGGAAGGATTCGTATCTACAGGAGGAACCAGCGGTCTCCAGCACATCTTGAGAGCCAGCGCTGGGAATTCAAATGTAAGAGAAAGCAAAACCGAAACCACAATGATTCAATTGCGGGAAACAAATTAAGAAGGAGAGGATTGATGATTGAGAGAACGATTTACGAGAAGGCGGATATCCTGCAGCGACGTCGAGCCAGCCCTGAGCTTCATCGGCGTCGGAATCGGGTTCCGGCTTGGTGAAATCGTGGAACTTAGGCGCGTCGAACTCGTAATCCAGGTCGAATTCCTCGACTCCTGAAAACGGATCGTAGAAGAATTCCTCCGCTTCGCGATCCTCCAACACATCCATTTTCCCGCCCAAATTTCGTCACAAGCAACGAGGAAAGAACAATCTCCAGCCGAGATTAAATAAAGAAGGGCGATGAAATTAAACCGGAGATCACCGGCGCCGGACGAAACCTGATGCCAAAAGCTTCCGTTTCATTCAAACATTCGTTTTTTTGTTTTCAGAGATAACTTGCTGTTCTGGTACGGCCGGCCGGTGGGCGGCTCTATTCTTTTCCCCCCTCCCTCTGGCTGCCAGAGAGGAAATGGCCGCGGGAGAAACTAGAAAACAATGGAGGCGGTGAATCAGGCAATTGGAGAAGGAAACAGAGCAATAATTTCGTTGGTTGAGAGATTGGAGAAAAGGGCATGCAGCACAGGAACGAAGGAGGAGGGGGGAAAATGGAGGGAAGGGCGAAAGCCGTCACGTGACGATGGATCCAGCTTGAGTCTCTTGTTGACGTGGCACGTTCTGGCAGGCGGTGAGCTGGAGGCCTGGGTCCCACAATTTTAGGGGCAGAACACAGTTTTTTTTTTTTTTTTTTCAAATCCTACGACGATCAATCTTGTGGACAGAAAATCAAGGATTCTAAAATCTCTTTGCACCGGACAACGATAGATTACTTTTATACTGAAATCGTGCTAGTTTGATCGAATAGGGCATGTTTGGAGATTGTCAAACATTGTGATCCATACAAATGATGTACTCTATCAATAAGTGTATTGTAAATATATGCATTTTTATTAATTGTTGTATTTGATAAATATCACATTCTAAAGAATTTGGAGAAAATAAGTATTTGAAAAAAGATCCAAAAACGAAGTATTTTGCATGAGAGAGATTTATAAAATCCAAAAGTTTTATGAATTCAAAATAGCTGATAGAGTCAGCTATTTTGAAATACAATACCATATTATTTTTCTTTTTTTCTCTCAAACTTGTCATTCACTTTCTTCCTTTGGACGACCTTCCCCAAACTTCTCAAATCGACGATGGTGGTGACTGATGGCGGTCTTCCTTCATTGTCAACTATCATTCATTGTAGCCGTCCAATGAGGGATTCCATCAGAATCTGAGTTCGTAGTGGCTCGTCATTGTACACAAGCTCTGTCACTGGTCGTCCTAGGTAAGAGAAGAGAGCAAGCGTTTGCACTTCAATTTCATGACCAGGGCGTCGTCGCCCTCTGCTTCCGCTTACAATTCGGCTGACGAAGAAGAATAATCATCCTGTGCTCCCACTCATAATATCATCGTCGTCCATTGGATTATGGTGCGATTGGATTAAGACGTTTCTTGGAGAATGAGCATAGGGAATAGATGCCCTCCATTGCGATCGTTTTTTGCGTTCGCCTTTCATCCTTGTTGGAAATCGTCTTTGCAATCGCTGACTATTCGTATCTCTTCCAGATCTGGTTCTCGTCTTCTCGATGATGGAAAGCTCCGACGGGGATGTTGTCCCTGGAAGTGTCGTAGTGTAGAACGATTCCAAACTAGGTCCGCTAAGATTCTTGCATTCCCCATACAGGTTATCCGAGTTGGAATTAAGACCCACTACTTCGGGGAAAGTTAATCTGCTAACTTGAAGATTCGTTAGCAGATACTAACTGATATTCAAAATACATGAACTAATATCAAAGTACTAAAGCATCTAGATAGCACAAATTAGTATTCAAAGTTTGCTAACTGATATCCACCATGAATCAACTATTATCCCAAATTCACTAACTAATATCTAGACAACACAGAATAATATCCAAACAGCATATAATTAGTATCTAGATAACACATAAGAGTATCCAGATAACCCATAAGAGTATCCATATTGAATACTAGTTGGTTGATTGTGGATATTAGTTCGTATCTGGTATCTGGGTACTAGTTTGTGATGTTTTGAATACTAGTCTGTGCTATCTAGATACTCAGCAGACTTGGATATTAGTTCATACATTTTGGATATTAGTTAGTATACTAACTAATCTTCAAGTTAGCAGAATAACTAGGCTGGCGTCCGCCTGATTAATGATTATCGTGGTAAATATTTTACCGGTGGTATTCAGATAATTTTGTTTGGTTAATTTAGATAATTGATTTGATTTAGTTAAATTTCTTATTTGTTTGGTATATGTGGTTTGGTTTCACACACTTCTAACCAAACAAGGCAATTAAATAAATAGTTATATATTTAACATAATGGGTCAGACTGGTAAATTCCTCGAGTGTTCTATATTCCAGATACCCCTAGTGAGATATGTATACCTAGATAATGAATTAAATCGGCTTTGAGATATGATACTATACCCTAACCGATACGTGGATCCACGCTATGAGATTAGATTTTTGGTTTCATGTCGCTTATTTGCAGCCTAGTTATTATGCTAACTTGAAGATTTGTTAGTATATACTAATTAATATCCAAAATGTATGAACTAATATTCAAGTATGCTAAGTATCTAGAGCACAAACTAGTATTCAAAACATCACAAACTAGTATTCAGATAGCAGACACCAACTAATATCCACAATCAACCAACTAGTATTCAATATGAATACTCTTAGACCACCCACAACGTGAGTTGGTTTTGTGGGGAAAAGGGGAAATGTGACCACAATGTTGGGGGAATAGGGAATTAATGGGTTTTGTGGGTTTAGTGGGTGGGAAAACCCACCAGATGAGACAAATGGTGGGGGGAAGTGGCAGATGGGAAAACACAGCCTTTTTTTCCCCCTCCTGATTTTAGTAAAGGCTTGTTTGGAAAGTTGTGTTTTTGTCACCAACGGACAGATTCAACCAACAACCATATTTTGCAACGATCACTTTTTGAAAGACCATATTTTCCAATCACCATTTTTCCAACGACTATATTTTTTCCTGCTATATAAATATAACTTATTCTTCACTTTCTGTCAACACTTCTCGCATTCTCTTCCTACCATCCAAATCAAAAACTCTCTTCTTCCCAAACTCTTTGTAATCATGGCTTCTTCCGGTAGCAATCGCAATCCGAATTACACAAAAGAAAAAAAATTCCCAAATAAAAAAAAATTATATCGAAATGTTCGTATTAATTATTTATCACTAAGTACGTAATAATAATGATCATTATATAAAAATAAAGTGACAAAATCAATTATAAATTGATTTTAACAAAAAAGTATTAAACAGATTACCCACTTTTCCCACCACCACACTGTGACCAAACCATCCAATTTTCCCTCTTTTCCTACATTTCCCCCACCCACATTGTGGATGGTCTTGTGGGTTATTTGGATACTCTTATGTGTTATTTGGATACTAATTATGTGCTGTTTGGATACTATTATGTGTTGTCTAGATATTAGTTTGTGAATTTGAGATAATAGTTGATTCATTGTGGATATCAGTTCGCAAATTTTGAATACTAATTTGTGCTCTCTAGATATTTTAATACTTGGATATTAATTCATGTATTTAAGTTAGCAAATCAACTTTCCCCGCGAACGCGGTTGGCCTAATACTTGCAGAGGAATGTCTCCAGTCTCTACTGTAAGTTACACTGGTACAGTCTGTAACTTCGTGAACTCAGCCCGAAAAACAAAAAGGCTCCCTCCAAAAAAATTCCAAACCACCAAAAACCAAATCCCCGCCCAACCCAAAGCCGAAACCTTTCTCTTCTCTTCCGCTCTCCACTTTCCACTTACTTCCCATTGAAGCCAACCCAGCCTCCAATCGCCCTCGCTCGAGACCCGTCCCCTCGGAGTTCCACATGACCGAGTCCGCATCCTCCGAACCAGAACCGCCGTCCCCTAAGCCCCGCGCCGCCGCCGCCGGCAACGGAATGAGGCTCGTCGTCCCTCTCCAGGGCGTCGTCCAGGGCAGGGGAGGCCTCATCTTGGGCTCCCTCATTCCTTGCGCTCTCTTCTACTTCTTCCAGCTCTACCTCAAGCGCCACCGCTCGCCCAAGCGGCCGCCGGCTTCCTCCTCGAACCCTCCGTCGCCATCCGCTTCGTCTCCGAACCACGGGGATTTGGCCCGAACCTCCTCGCGCTCCAATTTGCTCGGCCGCGGGTCGATCGGGCCCGTGCAATTGTCGTCTCGTGGGATGGCGATTGCCAAACCCAATGACTCGCCGTACTACGTCGGGTTGGAGAAGGTCGCTGGGGATCCGTTTCATCGGGTGGATAATCCGGATGGGAAAATTCAGCTTGGATTCTCTGAGAATACTGTGAGTATACTACTCCTCCCCAATTCTTGTTCGTACAATGTTCTTTTCTTTTCCCCATTGACTTGGATTTTTTGCCGGTGGTGGTTGCAGTTGTGTTTCGATTTGATTGAGAGATGGATGAAGGAAAATTTGATGGACTCGCTAATGGGTGGTGATGGTGCTGAATTGAGTATCAATGGCATGGCCACTTACCAACCATTTGATGGGTTGATGGAGCTGAAAGTGGTATGTTAGCAGCTCTAAGCTAGTGATTCAGTACGATTTTAACATTTCCAAGCGTTCATTTCTTGTCTTAGAGAGACGATAAGGACTTAATTGTGTCGTGGTTATGGTACTTGTTATAGTGCAATGTTGTAAGGTAGTGGTAGTTCAATGTGAAAGTCCCCATGCTGGCAGAAGTTGGTGTTTCTGTTGGAATTCTATGGCATCTGCTTGATAGCTAGTTGATAAGAACTTTGTGTGGAGGCATCTGTAGCTCTCTTCATTCACATAGTTTCCTTATTTTCCCCTTCCTTTCTGGGTCATTGCAGGCTATGGCAGATTTCATGTCTCGGGTAATGGGGAAAGGGGTTTCATTTGATCCATCGCAAATGGTATTGATGGCTGGTGCGGCTCCTGCAATTGAAATACTAACCTTCTGCTTGGCGGATCTTGGAAATGCATTTCTCATTCCCACCCCATACTATCCTGGGTAATTCTTCTGCTCAAATTGTACTTTTCTTATTTCGTTGATACATGAAAACTAGTGGTGATGTAATCATCATTCATCAATATATTTCCTCAGATTTGACAGGGATATCAAATTTCGAACAGGAGTGGAGTTAATACCGGTCCACTGCCGCAGTGCAGATAACTTCATGTTGACGGTCACTGCTCTTGATCAAGCTTACAATCAGGCAAGGAAGCGGGGCCTGAAAGTCCGAGGGATCTTAATTTCAAACCCTTCAAACCCCGTTGGCAATATACTGTCACGAGAGACGCTCTATGAGTTACTGGACTTTGCACAGGAGAAGAATATCCACATTATATCCGATGAGATATTTGCTGGGTCTCTCTATGGAACGACTAAGGAATTCGTGAGCATGGCAGAAATTATTGAAGCAGAAGAATTTGATAAGAGCAGGGTTCATATTATATATGGGCTGTCAAAGGACCTTTCTCTCCCAGGATTCAGGGTTGGGGTTGTCTATTCCTACAATGAAAATATCTTGGCTGCTGCAAAAAGGCTTGCTAGGTTCTCTTCCATCTCTGCTCCAACTCAGAGGCTTTTGATCTCAATGCTTTCAGATACCAAGTTTATCGAGGAATATATCGAAACCAATAGAAGGAGGATTCGGCGGATGTATGACCTATTTGTTGGTGGTCTTGACCAGTTAGGAATCCAGTGTGCAAAGAGCAGTGGTGGTTTATACTGCTGGGCCAATATGAGCGTTCTAATAGCTTTGTATAGTGAGAAAGGGGAACTCGAATTATGGGATAAGCTGTTGAATGTTGGTAAAGTCAATGTAACTCCTGGTTCAGCCTGCCATTGTATAGAACCTGGATGGTTCAGGTGTTGTTTTGCAGCTCTAGCTGAAGAAGATGTTCCACTTGTCATGGAACGGATTGGGAAAGTTGCTGAAATGTGTAAATCTGGACAATGAAATAGGATATTTTGCCTCATACTACTCATTTTGAGGTTTCTTCTGCTCTTTATGGGACCCAACCTTCAAGATCTTTCGTAGATTCATCCAAGGGAATAATAGATAGAAGTTTACAACAAATTCGTACTTGGAATAACAGGACTTATGACTTGCATCAAGAAGCAGTATACTCCTGAAGGTTGTACTTTTTTCTTTGCATGCTTTGACAGGAATTGGAAACTCACTAGCAGTATGAAATATGGAAACCGAAACTTAAAAGGAGATTCCTTGAGTAAGTCCCCATGGAGAACTGAATGCAGGCTTCTCAGGAGCACCGGTTCAAAAGACGCAGCATTTGAAAGGTTGCCCCTTGATGAGTTCCTGCACCAAAATTGTTATGTCAGGCAAGTGCACTAGTTCTTTTCAATTCCTAGACTAACTTAATACATCTTAATATTTGCTTGTTGTAGCAAGAGAATTGGTATATATATGATAATGGAAATGGAAGCAAGCTGAAGAGATTTACTTACCATTGATGGATTCTGTAGCCTCATTTGAGCTGCTTTCCTCTGAACACTCCTCCTTCTGCTCATCATTATCAGTTCTCCAAGTGTTGGCGGCTTCCTTATTACAAGTGCCCCATCACTACTTCCTTGATCTACCAAATCTCTGCCGGTGAGCTCCAGCAGTGGAGTGGAAGAGCCGTTCTTCGGATCTGTATCCTCCTCACGAGACCCAGAAGCTGCTTTATATAATGGAAACAAACATTCCAAGAACGAAGATCCCACAAGGCTTGATCTCCCAGTTGCATAGCTACTGGTGCTGCTGTCGCTTTCATAATCTGGCGATGCTAGTGTTTCCCACTGCTCATCCATCGAGAAAGCGCTGTCGATGACTGGAACAGCAGCAGAAACTGCCGCTGATGACATCAGGCAATTCCCCAACAGAGATGGCGGTGATCTCAGGTACCAGTCATCATCAACATCCCTAGTTTCTGCTTCTGAGTACATCAGAGCTGGTGGTAAAGGAAGCACCTTTACTTGCGAAGCAAGGTTCCCCTCATCGACTGATGATGGCTGTGAGAAACGGGACAGTGGAGTTCCGGGCCTTTCTTCCCATTTAAAGGGAACCGAAGCAACGAGCTTGACTGGCGGCAATGATGGAAGTGGTGTGACCTCAGGAGGAGCAACTTCAGGCTTCCAGTCCTTCTTGGTTATTCCTGGCCTATCTTCCCAGAGAAATGGAACTGATGGTGGCTCCCTGATACGCCTTCTCTTCGAATGCCCTATGGCCTCTTTCGATTCCATTTTCGGAGTGTAATGGGAGCCCAATTCATTGTGGTCTAGAAATATTTCTTCTTCTTTCAGCTTTATAGAGTCACCATTAGTGGGTTAGGCACGCTTCCAAATTTACTGAATGAGTGCTTGTTTAACTGAACCACCTCTCTGGTTCTGAGTTTTAGCTTACCTGCTTTCTTTGTGAAGTTGGTGAGTCAAAGTGTGTGCAAGACTAATTCGTATCCCTTTTAACTCCTCATCCAATGGGGACACGGTAAATCAAATCTTGCCCCATTCTTCTCCTAAATGGGTGATGAACTGATGATGGGTAAAAGCGGGTTGCGTACTGGCCCAAAAAGCCCACCAAGATTCGTTCAGTCCGGCCCAAACATAGTCCATCTTTCTATTGGGCCCGGCCACCGACATTCGAATCCGCAAACGTGTGGAGTGTGGACGCCGGCCGTCTTCTTTATAACCATCGCTTCAAGGTTGAAATTCAATTTCCCCCAAATCAAAGCGAAGAATTTCGATCAAGAACCCTATCAAGGAAATCGGAATCAGGTCCCGGCGATCGGCGATTCGGTAAACGACAGAGAAGAGAAAGCGAGAGAATGGAGCCGCAAGGAGACACGGAGCCGTCGGCGTGCATCAAAGAGGGATGCGTGCTGTTCGGATCGGCGGAGAAGGGCAATCTCTGCCCTAGCTGCGACCAACAACACAAGAAACGAGATCTCGACGAGACCGCCACGGCAGCGGGATCCACGATTGGGAAGCCAGTCGGCTCGAAGCGTCCGTTCTATTTCCCTCGCGATGTGACGGTCGTTCCGTTCTCCGGATTCGACGGCAGGGAGACCACCGCCGCCACCACCACAGCCGCCACCGGTACTAACAGAAACTCGTTCTTCAGCGGTAAATCTTGCCAAACCACCTCGTCTTCTTCGTCATCAGGTTCTAGCTTTTTCTCTAGCGTAGATAGCGGCTTCTTCCCTACTCGTGGTCGTGCTTTTGATCCGTCTGCTTTCACATTCGGTTTCGGTTCCGCCACCGATACCACCACCAAGACGGTAAAGAAGGAAGAAAAGAATTGTGGTAGTTGCAGAAAGCGGGTAGGATTGCTGGGATTCAAGTGCCGGTGCAGGAAACTGTTCTGTAGCCAGCACCGGTACCCTGAGGAGCATCGTTGCTCCTTTGATTACAAGGAGTTCGGGCGCAAGATTCTTGAGCAGCAGAATCCTGTCCTCGAGTCCGATAAGCTGGAGAATCGAGTCTGAGATTTTCCGGCGACGGGTCACTGCCTCACAGGTAAGTTTGATGAATAGGGTAATAATAGGTCAGAATCCATAGGGTAAAAAAGAATGGAATTGAGGTTAGAAGGGTTTGAAGAACCATTTAAGAATCAATTGTGTCTGCATTTAGGTGTCATTCTGCGTCTGTGATTAGGGTTTTTTTCTGTTTTCCTTTATCAATTCCTGCTTCGAGTCTGTAGCTTAGGTGTGCATTATTAGGAGTTAGAACTGTAGTGTTTTAATCCGCCATTGTTTACCATCCCCTGGAGTCCTGCATTCATCCTTCCAAGGAGGCACAGTCTACACTGGTGTGCTCCCTACTAAGACTCTTCCGATGGAGGCCGAAAAGCCGATGACAAAGCAAGCCTCGGCATCTCGGGTCTGGGAAAAGGGAGAGGCTTCTCTACAACTATTGTTCTCACTTCTGTTTGTGTATACTAGGGAGAGAGAGCCCCCATTGAATGTGCATTAGATAGGTACTTCATTAGGGTTAGGCTGCGCATATCGATCATCATCTCTGTAAAACCATTCCTCAGCTTCCCAATTGTACACTATCTGGTCCTAGTGTTACAGAGCTATGCTAATGAGGGTTCTCTTCACCTGTAATAGAAGTCTTGTTTTTCCCCCTTTCCTTCAATCTTTTTGAATCTTGGGGATCTGAGTCTGACTGAGCTATATGCCATAAAGTCTAAACCATACCTCGGTTGAAGTGTTAAGTTGGAACAAAATACCTGTTGTAAAGGGCAATGCAACTGCTATCTTAAATATACTCGGATGTGGGTAGGACGTAAGCAAATACTAGTTCTAATATGTTTGTCTCCTGTATAAATCGTAATCGTACAATTCTCGATCAAGTGAATCTCTCGCTGGATTCGTGTTTCTCTTTGTTTAACGTTGGTTGTCGATGAAGGTATGTTTCGGCCAGGTGGTGCTTTGAAGGTGCACTTGTATATGGCCGTCTAGACTTAGCTTGGCAGATCTTATGTGCCACCATTGTTCACGATTGGAGTTGGGAAGGGGTTTGCCATTGTGGTGTCTGCAGAATATTGTTAAGGCAAATGAACAGGAGTTTATAGTCTGCGGCTTTAATTAACTTCAATCACTAAAACACCAAATTAAATATAGCAATTGAATTGGTAAGCACTAAGTTCCTCCACTCCATTTTTCGGAGGAAAGGGCATCTAGCGGTCCACTTTTTTTTAATTATCTAGATTTGATTAGAGGAGTAGATAATGGATTGAGTGGCTCAGATTTCATTACTTGTGCTACAAGCGTGGCTTTGTGTCTAACGAAGTTTAACTTTCACCTATTACATAAATGTGTGTGTATATTTAGATTGAACAAAAGTCACATTTCTATTGTGAATAATTATCATAGAGATGTGAATAAGTGACGCTATTGAAACACGAAGTAGAAGAGCAAGTGTAATCAGGGGTGTAGTTAGGAATTTTGTTAAGGTGGGTCGAATTGTGACATAGGTTGTGTCGTTGTGAACGGAGAGTGGCAAGTGGCGGTCGACAACCTATTTTATATGTTAGGAATTGCCATCACGTAATAGGTGGCATTTGCCCGGAAGTCTACATGGATTTCGGGTTGTTGGTACGTTGAGCGCAAAATGGTTCTCTTGTACTTGAGGATTTTGCCTACCATCGGTTTACCTTGAAACCCTGGAAAGCTACATAAGATGAGAATATGAGAAATAGATGAGGAAATGTGATTTGATCAAAATGATTAAGTGATCAAACTAGTTCCATTGTTTCCTATGCGGCAGAAACAAATGGACTCTTGCGCTAGCAACGTGTTGACCAATTTAACCCCAATTCTTAAGTGCTAGTCCATACTTCACTTAAACGAAGCTCAATCCTCTTGAACTAAAAAGCCTGCACACAAAATAAAACAACTAAATGTTACAAGTCCAAACAAATTACAAAACTTTGTAGTATCACTAACAAATCTAATTTGAAATTTCCCTAGTGGATGGTCACCTCGATCAAGTAGTCTCCACTGCACGTCCGAGAAACTTGTATTGTGAAAGGACGTGATGTTGGCCTTTGCACTTCTAGAGACTTCTGAATCTTTTGTACCTCTATAATTTTTCGTTCCTTCACATTCTCCAACTAGAGATTGCACAAAACTTTAAACAGGGAAAACTGACCACCTCCCCGATGAAGATGCCATGCCACGATGAAGAACAGACTGAAAACTGATCACCTCCCCGGTGATAGGGGCATACGATGTATTTTTGTAAGAGAGATTATTTAGTGGTCAAGTACTCTAATCAAGAGGGAATGAAGAATTAACTAATCTGCAATCAAAGTAATTCATAGGAGTACGTAGGTCCTTCCTTTACAATTTGCATGACGGGATCGTAAGGGGAAGAATGGAAGGGGGTGGCCAATTGCCAAAGCGTTTTGGCCGAGTATTCACCATTGACAATTACCATCACGGCCATGTAAACATAAAACATCAACTACATTTTTTTTTGCAGTATATATTTATGAAAGATGGACTGGCAAAAAGAGAGGTCGAGGAAAAGTAGCATCTTTAAACAGGGAAAGAACAACCAGAAGTCATATAATTACCAGTTAAGCCATGGAGGTATTTCAGCGGTGCTTTTCTTGATCTTGAGCAAACGATTGTAGCTTCCATCGTACGTACCTCGCAGTTCCTCGTACCTGGGAATTGGAGTAGGCCAACAGGAGACCTTAGGTTGGAAGGGCTTCCAATAAGGACAATAATGCGCACCAAAGAACTCCACCTCTCCCGTCCCCAGATCCATAGACAAGACATCCGCGTCTTTGTTTCGAGAATCAAGGTAATTCAAGAAGACGATTTCGAGCCTCTGTGGATGCAGGTAGACTCGAAACAATCGCTCGAGCTCGTAATTACATCCCCGCAGTACTAACGTTGTATTCTTCAAAAACACCTCGTGCAATTTCCTCCAGGAATATTCATCGTCGTCTTCTTCCACCAGTCTCCAAACACTCAAAGCATTCCTCGAACAATCGAAAAACTCCGATTCTAAGAGAACCATATGCAAAGCATCTTGTAGAACCGAAATCTCGTACACAGCTTGTCTCGGTATGGAAGCAGCACCACCCGGTATGGAAGTACAAACACGACGAGGATGCACATCAAGGCGGAAAGGATTAAACACATCGAGCGCCAGAGGAGATTTGAACCCGAACTGGGGTTCTTTATAGAAAAACAACTTCCCGTTGCACGAAACCACTCTCTTGAACACGGTGGTCTTCAGAACGAGAGTCTCCTCGATCCACTCGCCCGATTCTGAACAAAACACGTCTAGTCCTTCATCCCCGTCAGTCATTTGACACCTAAACACTACCCGAAAACGATACGAAGAATAATCGAATTGTGCACCTCGGCCGTCTCCTAGATCAAGACGAATAGAATGAGCGGGTTCACAAACTAACCTTGGAGTGAGCCTCATCAGAATCCCACTCGACCTCTCAGGCGCCAAAGGAAGCGCGATCCATTGCTTCGTGAACGGATTGCAGACGAAGTAAAATCTCCCCACTCCTTCGCCTTCGGGGAACCCTGCCCCCCAAAACCCGCACAAGAGCAAGTCCTTGAAGGAATCGAAGACTCTGAAATACGGCCCGACTTCGTCCGGAACGGGAAGGAAATCGAGGCAGCTGTGGCGGAACATCGGCCGTGATGATGGCCTGACAAGTAGAGGCGGTTCGACTTCGTCGTTGATGCTGTTGTGGTGAGAGACGTAACGGCGGTTGAAGATGATGGGGTCGGAGATTAAGGAGCGCCACCGCCTGCAGACGAGCTTGCAGCGGCAGGCGGGCTTAGGGTTTGGGAAGCTGCGAATGAGGATCTCGACGAGGAGATCGTCTCCTAGTTTGTTGATCGTCGTCATCGTGTGCGGAGGAGGAGGAGGCAGAAGGGTTTTCCTTGCTTGTGCATTGACGGCTACCGGAAAAAACCCTAATGCATGCTCTATTATTATTTATACGTGCGGCTGGTGTTTAGGTTCGGCCACCTACTGGTTTGATTAGGATTATGACCGACTTTTACCAAACGACATCGTTTACCCCTTTTCATGTCGTCTTGAGTTGCAGTAAGCTGGGTATCTAATAAATGGAGGATTTTTACAATGTTCTATAACATTGATGTTTTGGTATACAAATATATAATTTTATGCTACAAACAAAACTTGTACTTTTATAAAATTCAGATAATCATTCTCCGAAAAATTTAATTGGATAACAGAGTAAACTCGTCAATTATGACCGACTTTTACCGAACGACATCGTTTACCCCTTTTCTCGTACCGTCTTCTTCTTCCTCTTAACCCTAGCTTGAGCTAGTTTGATATGGTATCAGAGCGGTTACTGATCCAGTGACCTTTGATAACACCTAAATTAGGGAATGGGTTAGGGTGATTACTTGTTTTTTAGTAATCACGGTGACAACCTCTTTATATACCATTAGATTTCACATTTTCCCTTCTTTTTTAATCTTACGGTCAAAATTCTTTTAGGGTAATTATGGAAATGAAAAAGTGACCACGCCCGATTATTCTATATAATCTACCCAAACCCTAGTTCTACTCTCAATCCGTCGCACTAATCCCGCCGCAGCCGCCTCCACCACTGCGTCGCACTAATCCCGTCGGTCGCCTAAACCCTACTCCCATCCTCTCTCAACCGCCGTTCCCCTCTCACCTCCGGTCCACACACGCCTCTCTCTCTCATCTGGGCAACGGGCCTCATCGGCCGGCATGAGGCGGAGGCCAGCCTGGACGCCGGTCCCCCCACTTAACTTCTCACATGGTGAACCTCTTCTGTCGCTGGTCATTCTGTAAAAGCCCAACTACCAAGTCTTTGTCTCTTGGGGAAATGCACAGAGGTACGTATTTATTTGTTTGCAGGTAATCTAGAATGGTAGTGTTTGCATTGGTAGAGGATTTGCTTTGGTAGCTATCTTGCATTTTATTTTAGTACTGTTTGCATTATGCTTTGGTAGTGTGTGCATTACGCTTTGGTAGTTACCTGCATTTGTGTTGGTTAGATGGAGCATTATATTTTGGTAGTTATCTGCATTTGGTTTGGTAGTGTTTGCATTATGCTTTGGTAGTTTCTCTGTATTTATTTTGGTAGTGTTTGTATTGATTTATTTATGCAACGGTATTGTTTTGATTTCACAGTAGTAGTGGTATAGGTTGTTTTGGTATTTGTTTGACTTTTGTAATGATATAGATTGTTTATATTGGTAGTTTTCCTGTAATGGTATAGATTTATTTCTGCAATGGTATTGATGTTTTTCAAAATGGTAGTGGTTGTCTAATGGATTGGTAGTGAATTAGTGATTTTGTGTTTTTTTCTTTTGCAGAAAGTTTGAGAAAAATATGAAAAAGGAGATCTGGCTGGAGATTACGGAAGTGAGAGAAAGAGAAAAAATTGTAATTAATAGATTTTTGTAACTACCTAAAATGTATTTTATTAAAATTAAATAATTAATATAATTTATTTTTTCATACCCAATTTACCCTTAGTAACCACGGTGATTACTACTTTTGTAGTAATCACCGTAACCGCTCCCACTAAATTAGGGTTATTTATCCTGCATATTGAGACTTGTTTCGTGCCAATTCATGAACATAAACGCTTAAACATCGTCAATTGCATCTCTATTCCGTTCTTATATGAATTCGATGTGATCTTAGGATGTATTAGACGATATGTGCGAATTAGGTACAAAACAAGGTCACAAGCGTAGCAAAGGGAGCAGGAACTGAAGATATCGTGGCCTAAAAGCTAAAGATCACGGCCGGGATCGTTGACCGCAAACTCAAGCTGAAGATCACGACATGGAAGCCCAAGATTGCGACCACGAATTAGAGGGCTCAGGGCTCGAACTTCGCGAAGAAGGAGCCAGAGAAAAACATAAAGTTTCCCCATTGAATCACGACCATAACAGAAATACAAGTTTTGTACAAAACTTGAGATTGGTATAATATGCCCATAAGGCTGCCCTGCATACCGAGTCGCCAATGATATCCCAATAAGTGTGAAAAAAGCCCCAGTCAGACCATCGGAACCCGGTGCCTGCCCCGGCCCTATACTGAATGCAGCTGATCTGATCTCCTCCCTAGTCACAGTTGCCGATAGGAAGGCATTGTGCCCAGCAGAAATTCTTGGTTGGATGCCCAACGCATGAACAAGGAAGTATGGGGAGTGGCCATTTGACATGAAGAGGTTCTGGAAAAAATCAACAGAGATATTCCCCTTTGCCTGTTCCTCAAAATGAGAATTGCCAGCATCATCACGAAGGACTTCGACCAGGTTATAGCGACGTCTCTGGGTAGTTGTGGTATGGAAGTAATTGGTGTTGGCATCTCCTTTTTGAAGCCAGGTGGTGCGCGATTTCTGGCTCCAATAAGCCTCCTCCTGAAGATAAGCCGTTGAGAGCTGTGCTTCCAGAGCTTTGATGGAATCCCAGTTCGTCGGAAAAGCATCCCGCTCCAATTGGATGGCGTCTCGCAGCTCTCTGATTGCCCGGGCTGAATTTGTGGTGCCTTGTCGCGCCCATTGAACCAGCTGGTGTCGCGCCTCTTTGCAAAGGGTGAAAAGCTGGAATTGGAGAGTCCCTGAAACTTCGGACTGCCAAACATGAGCAATGATTTCCTTAGCATCACTGTTGGTACACCAGCGACGGTCATAATGGAATCTTGGTTTCCCCTTCCCTGCCGATGGAATAAGTTGAAGCAGCAATATCCTATGGTCCGATCCCAAGTCAGACAAATGGGTAACCTGCATATTAGGCCACAGACTCAAGAGATTAGTGGAAACTAAGCCTCTGTCTAATCGTTCTAAAATGTGAGTATCAATTCCTTGACGATTGGACCAGGTGAAGGGGGGACCCTTAAATCCCAAATCGATCAAACCTGCCGAGTCAATGAAGTCACGAAACTGTTCCATGACTTGAAATGATGGCGGTCGGCCGCCAAGTTTCTCTGCTGCTTGGAGGAGACAGTTAAAGTCACCTACAACAATTTTGGGAAGGGAGCAAGACGAACACAAATGCAGAAGTTCATTAAATTGTGAAAGACGCGTATTTACATCATAATGCAAGTGGACAAAGAGGATGCCCAATGTACCCCAAGCTACGTGATTACATTCTACAAATATGAAAAATGCAGACTCCTCTAAGACTCGACAACTGACAGACGAAGAGCAAGCAAGAGCTAATCCGCCAGCCCTACCAATTGGAGAGACACAATGAGTGAATTGATACCCTAGACGCCTAAGTTTCTTATGTACAAAATCATCTTCATGCTTCGTTTCACTGAGAAAGACGATAGACGGAGAGAATCGACAAACGGCCCCAAACAACGATGGAATTGTCAGGGGAGACCCCAAGCCCCGACAATTCCAAACCACCATGCTCATCGCAGCTGCTGGGACCAGTTTGGGCTGGTTTCCTCCACCACAGCTGTTTCTACCGTATCATCATGAGTGTCCATCGCATCAATACGAGCTTTCTTGGACATCAGAGAGCTTTCAAATGCACCATCGAGCAGAGCTCGGTCACGAACCAGGGAAGCAGGTTGCGGCCTGCAGAAGGGGAGCAGGGCCGAGACCAGGGTCAACAGGAGGCTTGGTCGTAGGTAACGCAGACATGGCAGGCCGAGTGGTCTGGGCGCCTTGCTTCGCATCCCCCTCCTGGTTATTCCGCACCCAGGTGTATTGCTTTCGGCTAAGCAGGGTATGCTCATTCACCTTAGGCCCAGAGCGCTTTGACACAAGTTCCTTGCTGTAAGGAGTAACCGTCCCAGCAAGTTCATCCCGACGAGGACATTGCTGGCCGACATGGCCTAGAATCCCACATAGGTAGCAAAATTGGGAGAGTTTTTTGTACTTGATCGTCGCTGTAAAGCCGCCTTTGCCAGCCTTCTCGTGAGAAGCGGGGACTGATAGCGGCAGTGGGGAACGCGCATCCAGCCAGACTTTGGCATGCAGGTATAGCTCCCCTGTAACCACCTCCCTGTGAACTGCCGCCGCTTCGCTCTTGCCGAGTGCCAGCTCTAGTAGGTTCCCCATCTTCCGAATACAGCAGGGCGGAGGGATATCCCAGAACTGCAGTTGGAGAGGAACCCGCCACAGTTGATCAGCAACTTCCAGGGTAACCGTCACCCAAGGAGCAAGATTGACAATAAACTTGGGAAGGAACCAAGGAGCCTCCCTCAGGACCCTGTTCATAGTCGCCTCCGACGGGAAAACAAACTGCAGTAGCCCTTCCGGAGCCGGGAGCACAGAGAGCGCACCAATGCATCTCCAAAGGCGACCGAGAGTAGTCTGAAGATGGCGAACAGGGGGAGCGGGCCCAATTACCCTTCCAATGAGGGAGACATCACTGCGCACAGCGCCTGCAACAACATCATCATCACCAAAAACCACCGGAACCACCGCAGCCATTTTGAGCAGAGGGAAGTTAGGGTTTCGAAGAAATGCAGAGGATGGGATGCACAAAGGAAGTAGGAATTGACTTGGCGAATAGCATCGCAGAGTCCGCCACAGTGGATTTATAGCCACCATCAGTGCCGAAGGCCGATTCCGGCGGGGCACGATGGCCGATTGGCCGTTATCGGCAAGTCGCACGGGGCGAGTACCCCGCTCCCACTCGCCACGATAGAGAATAGCGAGAGAGAGGGGTTTTTTTTTCCCCAATTACTCCTCTACCTAGTGAAATTTAATTTGGTATTAAATAATTAAATGGCCAGAAATTGTAAAAAAAAAAAAAAAAACTCGAGCCGATCATATGCAGGGCCAGACAGGGCCGAAGAGGATATGGTCGGGCCGAATCAGGCTGAATGTTTGACCCTACAGAGCTGGATTTTTATGGTAGTGACTGGGCCAGGGCTGGGTTCGGCCCAGTTTCACCCTTCTGCATACTAATTCGCTGTCGGTCCCTCTAATTGGCGGGAGAAGTCAGAAGTGGGAGCATTGAAACGCGGGAAGTTCACTCTGCGGTTGCCTTCGTCTCTGCGAGGCGTGAGTGGCTTGACGGCAAGCAAAACGAAAGGGTTGAAGTTGAAGCGCAAAAAACTGAGTCGGGTCTGGTTCCAACACACCTCGCATTGGGTTCCTGCCACCGTGGTGGAGCTACTTCAGGTTTCACCGTTTCAGAGTTCACTCCCGCCGGCAAACTCCTAGTCCCCTCAGGTATCGTCTTCTTCCTCAGCTTCCTGTTAATAAACGATTGGCAAAAGCAGCAATCTTCCTTTCCAATTGGAAACGCTTCTTGGTCGATTATGTCGAAATGGTGAATCCCTGTAGTTTATTTTTCATGGGGTGGAAATTTAGCTGTGAATCATGTCGACTTGATGCATTTAGTGAAAACAGTATGTTGAGAGGATTGAACAAGTTCCCGGGTCTGATTCCTAACACCGAAGCTCTTTCATGTCTGTAGGTTCGTCTTCTAAAGGTTTGCACTTACACTGCTGCTGCTACATGGAGGTGAGTTTTGTGCTTTTCATTGTTAAATTGTGGTTTACAGTAAATATCTTTTAGGTTTTGGAGAGGAGATGCTACCCAAATTTTCTAACCCTAATCATTGGACGGAGTCATGTCTAAGCTAGACTTTCTGATCCCCTTTTAACAACTTAAAATATGATCTGAACTATTGGTTAACAGTGGGAGCAAGACTAAACTGGATACTTCTTTCATAGCACCCTTAGTCCCTCGTTCTTCCTTTATTTCTATATTTAATATCCTCCATGTTTTTGTCAGCCTTTTACCATTCTTCACAAGGCGTCATCTCGCAAAACCGACAAAATATCAACTGGAACAGGGAAAAGCAGAACCACGAGGCGGATTGACTTAACTGCTTCGTTGCCTGCTAGCACAGACATTTCGGATGTAAATGCTGCAGAATCCAATGAACGTCATTATTCGAATATGCGGATGGAAGCATTTGAGGCTGTTTGGTCTAGCACTGAATCGTCCATCAAGGTACGTGTTTTTGTACTACCCTTTCTTCAGTTGTAAAGCTCCTCTTGGTTCTCAACGATGGGGGAAGGAAACAATTTGATTACATCTTCATATGCTTCTTGCTCACTGCATTTTCTTCACTATTTTGTTTCCATCATAGCATAAATGATAATCTGACATGTTTCTCAGGATGTCTTGAGAGAAGCTAATGCAACCATATTCAGTGAAATACATGAGTGGGTTCGTGATTCATTTGACACAATTGTCTCATTCGGGGTTCCAAACTTTCATGAAGCAACGCAGCCTTTTCCAGTTGTGAAAGATGCCACATCTAAACAAATCTTTACTGGATTGGTTTTAACCAGTGAGTACTCTAAGGTTTGCAATTGTTAACTTTCTATGGCTTCAAGAGCCGAAAATATTATTTTTGTTCTCAGCTTTTTGCATCTGCGCATTTCACTGAAGAGGTAATGTCAAAAGCTTAACTACAGTTTGTAGACAAACCCTTGTGTTCTTTGAGAGAGAATTTGGCAATGGTGGCAAGGCACTTATTGTTGCTTGTGTCTGATGATAAATACGAACTCCAATATTTTGCGTTTTTGTTCTCTCTGTGAGCACTATTTTAGTTTCTGTTGCTTGTTTGTTTACTTTGACATTGCTTAATTGGTGAGGACCACATGCATAAGGACTTCTTTTATGAGAGATGATTTATTAGTCAATAATTAACAGGGAATATCGAATTTGTCGATGATTTGGTGACGTTTGAAGATCTTAAACAACATTTGAAGTCTCAAGGATGCCATGTGGCTAACCTTTCATCAGTGGATTTTTCTTCAAAAAACGGTGTTGGCACTTGTCTAAGAAGCTTGTTGGGACAGTTCGTAACGGGCTCACTGGATGTAAGAGGGCCTCCTGTGTTGTTTACAAGTTATTGGGTTTTCTATATTTCTTTCTAAGCATGGGGCTTCTACTGCTTGTATTCAGACGGCCGATATATCCATGTTAGCAACATGGTACAAAGAGCAACAAAACAATGACAATCCCGTGGTCATAATTATCGATGATATGGAGCGATGTTGTGCATCCATTTTATCCGAGTTTATTCACATGTTAAGGTAAATAGGTTCTGTTTTTCCTTCTCTATGTGCTCAGATTCTTTTGCCTTTATTTGCCACAGAAATAAGGTTTTAGTCACTCATAAGGACACCCAGAAACGCAGATACACAATAAGGTATTTCGTATATGTTAACCCTTTGAGACTCCGGTTTCACTACCTTGACATTTTACCTCCGTTCCTCTCAGTGAATGGGTACTAAAGGTCCCTGCCATTTTAATAATGGGAGTTGCAACAACCGTTGACGCCCCAAGAAATGTGCTTCCTTCGAATGCACTACATCGCTTGCATGCTCGCAAGTTTACCTTTCAGAGTTTGCCAGAAAAAATGAATTACGTTGTTGAGACTGCCTTCGTGAAGCAATCTTCTGAGTTCACCATAAGTCACAAGACTGCTGTTTTTATGAGAAATTACTTTGTACACCAAAACGGATCAGTTACATCATTCATAAGAGCTCTAAAGGTTAGAAACACAAATTGATTTACGTTCACTCCTATTATGTAGTGTTATCTGCAGTACTCTAATTTTTCTTCTATGAATGGGCCAATGTCTAACATGGTGCTGATTTTTATGAAGATAGCATGTGCCCAACATTTCTCAACACAGCCTCTATGCTTCATACTCCACTGGTTTCTTCGTGACGAGGACAATGAGGTATCTTTGTCGATCTGTGGTTTACGTTCACCAACATAAGGCAGTATGGTTTAGTAGTTTACTTGAATCCATGGATCAAGAATGTTGTTGTACAAAATTATCAATGAAATAAACACTACCAACTTTTTCCCATATGTAGAAATATCAGGCTCCATTACCATGTAATATGTAAAAAATGGTATTATAGTGCTGTCATAGTCCTTTACGGTTATGCCTTGCACTTAGAAGAAGCAGAATCATAGAAAACCTTTACCTTTAACATTTAATCCTTATATTCAGCATCTTTTGTGCATTATAATACAAATCCCTAGATTTTTGCTGTTATTCCTAAAAGCAACTGACCAAGAGTACAGCATCTAGCTTATTTCCCTCATCTGGTAGATTAATTCTCTATGCAAGACAACATGATTCTATGTGTTGGTGGTTTGTATCCGTCTTTAACTTCCTGTCTCTGCCTTCTGTTCGGTTTTCACAAGGTTCCACAAAGCCATATTTATGGATTATCACAAGAAAGGATGCTCAAGCTTGCTTTTGACCTTCCATCTTGGAAGAGGTAAATCTGAAGTATCACTCTATTTTTCTTCTAGTTTTTCACTCATTCAAGTCACGAAATTGACGGAATACTTGGATTTTAAAATGCAGCACTAACAATCAAATAACTCAACTTAGTGGAGAAACTTTGCTTGATGGGTTAACACAATTGAAGAAACTTCACAAAACTTGGAGAATGGTTGTTTTGGTAAGGCCTCAAACTTCACATTTCTATTATCTAGCACATTTTAGTGAAAAATTGTTGAAACTTTTCCCTATAGGGCATGGTTCTCCTTTACACGGCATTCGATCGTTGGTTTGGTATTTGCTAGATTTTGGTTGACCTTTTCTTGCTGAAGACCTCAACTTTGTCCTGAGGGCAAGACTGATTTTCAGAAAACAATAAATTATTTAGGCCATGGTTTATCGCTTACAATAACTTTGAGCTGGGAAAAGGCATACGTAGGTTAATAAGTTTAAATTAGCTGCATTGAAATGCTGCTTTGAATTGGTCACTTCCATGTTAAGTTTGTTGGAGATTTGCTTGTACCTTCTGGTGAAGCTATCTCATAATTTGAAGTCCTTGTTTTTTAGCTATTACTAAATACTAATAGAGAGGAACTGTAATTATAACTCTGTTAGTTGTCTCACTAGAACTTGGCATTATGATTTAAATTGTGACTGCACCTAGTACCCTGTTCAATGGATGAAGCCTTTCCATACTCTTGAAAACTTATAATGTGTAGTACAGGAATCTGGAATGATTAAATGGTACTATAATTACCATTAAGCTGTTATGGACATGATTCACTTTATAACCAACTCGTTCACTGCAGTGCCTATATGAAGCTATAAAGGGAGAAAATGTTCAATTGTTGGACTTGATGTGTGAAGCCCTTGATCCTAAAGGACCCTTTGCTTCTCAATTTGATATCGGATCCAGAGTGCTACCAAGTGATGATTCCACGAGCCAAAAGTTTCATAGTTTAGAAAAGAATAAAGGTTTGATTAATCGAGCGATCCGTAGGGTGAAGGAACTTCCAGCAAACCAGCTGCTAGTGTTGATGAAGGCTTGGGAAAAACACACGGTTGATGTTCCCGAGTTTCATTCTGAAGTGAAGGCGTTGGTGCTCTCTTTGTTGAAGTTGGAGGAGAATGGGGAAAGTTTGAATCAGAATAAGGTTGAAATGACCAATACCAGGAAACAAGCATTAAGAGGCCACTTAAATGGTGCTGATAAGAACTTGAGAGTGGCAAACGAGAAAGCTAGCAACCTAGTGGATTTAATGGTCAGGAGATATATGTGCCCGGTCGAGTGTGTGGCTCTACATGAAGTGTTGTGCTTTGACTGTGTTGATCAACTTCAAGCGGCTTTAATTGGTGACATGAGAAGACGAATCCAGATGGATCTTCAGGATTTCCACGCTATAATCCGGTGCAGTTGCTGCAGCAAGAGAGGCAGTACCATTTTGCCATCAATGCCGGATTCCTCGATTATGTAAGTCTACTTGCTTGCTTCCATACCTTGCTCTCCTCTTTCCTTCTCTTTTGTATTAAGGGGATTTAGATATGGACACTATTACTGCTTCCGAGCAACAAATCGACCAGGGGAAATAAATTTCCCGCAGTAATGGGTGTTAAACTGTTAATAATTGTAGGTAATCACGGTTGCATGATCATTTCCTTGAAAATGCTATCTTTTCTATTCACTGATGCATTAGGCACCTGTCAGGAGAAGTGTTAGGTGATCTAGATTTGGGCTGTTAGGGGAGCATTTTCATCCTGGTAGAAAGTATCTGTGTCTGAAACCATGAGTTGGAAGTGAATTTGGGTTGTTTTCCAAATTACACCATGCATACGAGGAAGTGAGATCGAGTCATGATTTGTAGAAAATGTTGCCGCGCCCCCGTTTTGCTTACCGTATAGCTTATGTGGTGTATGATCGTTGCTTGCATCTGTCTTCGTTCAACTGGTGTTGTTGGTTAGGTACACTTTGGCTCAGGAGCATGGTGATGTGGTTAATGTGCACGACTGGTATCAGTCGTTTAAATCTGTAGTTCTTTCCACACATATGGTTAGCAAGAGAGGTAAGTCGAGGTCAAAGCAACACTCCCCGACGCCAAAGAAAAGGAAGACAACGAGTGAACTTTCACAGCCAAGTGAAGCGTCCATCCAGTATCCTTGTCCTTGCTCTCTTCTCGTCGTGTTTTCACTGTTCTGTAGATTGTCGTTATTGTTTATTAATGATGGAGCAGTTGAGTTGAAATGGAAGACCCTTAAAACTTGATACACAGAGCACGATTCTGCAAGGCCATAGTGGAGCTTCAAGTTACAGGGCTTGTTCGTATGCCCAACAGAAGGCGCCCAGATTACTTGCAGCGGCTTGCTTTCGGGTCGTAAGCTGCTGCTGCTTGGCCGTAGAAAGGAGTGATTTCGGTGACGAATGAATCTGACATTCCATCTTGGATACGAGGTTAGCATAAGCTGCCAGTAAGTTGAACGAGAAGCTATTGAGAGATGCACCTTCATTGGTCAATGGTTCAGACTAGTTTGTAAAAGTTCGTGTATTCCTGGTTCCAAACCTTAATTAAACAGTGACAGCAATTTCGCTAATGCGTTCACCGTCCAAAAACTCAAATTAAGGGGAAAATTTTATTTCCAAAAAATTCTTTGATCACTAGTTCACTACACTAAACTGGGTCCACTTGACCACAATAGTGTACATTGTACACCCGAAAGGCCTCTCTTTCCCATTAGGGGTGAACAACGGGAAACGGGTATTTGGGTATACCCGTACCCGTCCCATTTTTTGAGGGTTACGGGTACCCAAATACCCGTTTTATTTATTGCGGGATGGGATTGTAAATGTCAACATTGGGTACCCACAGCCACAGGTATCCCGTTAATACCCGTTTGGGTAATATGAGTACCCGTTATACCAAATCTACACATTAACTTGGTCTAAATCTGAAATTTCTAATGAATGGCTATGAGTTAAATTTGACGAAGTAAAAAGCTAAAAACTTTATAACCTCATTTGAGCTTTATGCTAGTTTTGTTTGAAATTCGTGGATTTCTACGACATTGAACGTACAACTTACTTTTCTTGAATTGTAAAACATAAGTATGGTTGCTTTCATGTTGTTCCTCCCAAACTTATCTGGAGCCACTTATGCATTCTGCCATCTTCAGGAGTATTAGTTATTGTTATTGATGGTGTGTTGTCCATGTGGTCCTTGTAGAATTAGTTATCGATCTGTCACTACTTAGGCTGGGGAAATTGTAATGAAAACTTTGAACGAATAATAATTTGCTATTATCAAAGTAAAAATACAAAAACAAAAAGCATAAGTTGCATTGCCGATAAGTATTGCCGATCCACTTATCTCAATACATCTCTTTAAGAGGATTCATGGCTTTTGCTTCTTTAGCTATCTATTATATTCGTTCCATAGTGCTGCTTGAACACAGAAAACTTGCATTGTTTTTGTTTCTAAGTGAAATTTTGGTAATTGTTCACATGTTGAACGGGTATAAACGGGTAGTTTGGGTACCCGTTATCCGTCCCGTATGAATTAACGGGTACCCGTTACCCGTACGGGTTTGGGATATGGGATGAACTTTGATCTTCAGGGGTCGTTTGCTTGAGGGTTTTGGTGATGGATTGGTCATGGAAATATATCCATCATGGACTTGAACCGAAATCCATCATTTGCCTTAGGGAATTAGGGAGATGGAATTTGTGGGGCCCACCACTTTTGGGGTTCCAAATCCGTGGACCCCACGGACTTGGAAGTTCCACCTCTTGAGTTGGGATTTGGGCGATGGATTAAAATCCATGATGGTAAATTATCTTTCTACCCTTAATTATTTATTTGATTACAAATTTGTCCTACTTTTTTTTTTTTTACGGGTAACCTGTGAGATATATTGAATTAAGAAAAGCTGGTTACATCATCCAGCAGAAGCTGGTCAACAAGGAAAATCAGTGGTCTATCGATCCACACTTCTCTACATTCCCAAAGGGTCTCACTATGAGCCATAATGTGCGCAGCATTATTCGCGGAGCGCCGCACATGTTCAATGCTTGCCATGCTCGAACCTGTCGTCTGCAATAGATCCACAATGCGCCGGCAAATGATACCTGTCTCAGTATGATCCTCTTCTTGTCCTCTAAGCTTCTCCACCAGGGATAAGCAGTCCATCTCTAGAATAGGTTGGTGAAAGCCAAGCTGGTGCGCTAATTGAAGCCCGAACTCTGCTGCTAAAGCTTCCGTCAACTCCACTCCAAAAGTCCCACGCATCTTCTTCGCCGCCGCCGCAAGGTAGCGACCTTGGTGGTCACGAAACACAGCCCCCAGTCCGATCCCTTCATTCGCAAACACCCCAGCGTCTGTGTTTACTTTAACTCTTCCTTCGGGCGGCCTCACCCATGCTGCGCCCCCCGGTTGACCATCGCTAAGTATCTCCGGTCCTTGATTCTTCTGGTAGTCATTTAGTATGGACAAAGCTCGTTGAACGATCTCATCTTCAGGCCACTTAGCACTATTGAAAAGCTGTGCATTACGTTCTTTCCACAGAGCCCACAGGATCATTACCCATTTCTCAATAGTGTCCGTATCCTCTTGCTGTGTCACCTTCGCAAACCACGCAAGGCTGTCCGCCATCCTATTTACCTCTAGAGCTCGCTCCCATTCAGTCCTACGCCATATTCGAGAGCTCCAGCTGCATTCAAAGAAGGTGTGACGCTGGGATTCAACTTGGTCGCAGAAGGGGCATTCATTTGTCCGTTTCTGGTCCCTGGCCGCCACTCTCTCCCCCGTGGCCAGGATTTCACGAATAAATCGCCATAAGAAATGTCGTACCTTTGGCGGGACCTTCATAGTCCACACAAGCTTCCACAGTTTTTCATCCCCCCTGGGCGTTATACCTTCCACCGCCATAAACTCTGCCAGCCACCTCCTGTATCCGCTCTTAACTGTGTATTGCCCATTTTCAGAGAATCTCCAGATGAGGCGGTCGCATTCCTCTGACCCTCGCAGGGGAAGTGACAAAACTGTCTGAGCAATTGGTGGTGGGAAACACTGGTTGACTAGCTCCATATCCCAAGTTTCCGTCTCCGGGTCCACAAGGTCACGCACCGTAGCATCGACTGGTAGGACGGTCGGCGCTGACTCGACAAAAGGAGGCTCGCCCAGGAGCCACTGATCTCCCCAGATTTTTACTTGCGCCCCATTACCAATCCTCCACCGAAGTCCATTACACAGAAACTCTTGAGCGCTTAACAAGCTTATCCAGATGTAGCTTGGCTTACTTCCTAGTCGAGCATCAAGAATGGAGCAGTTACTGTGGTATTTCGCCCTCATGATCTTAGAAATAAGCGAGTCTGGGCGAGAATGAAGAGCCCAAAGTTGCTTGGCCAGGAGCGCCATGTTGAAACCCCGGAGGTCTCTAAACCCCATCCCACCATCCTCCTTCAGCGTCACCAGTTCTTCACGCCTGATCCAATGAGCCCTTTTCTCTTTGTTCTTTTGCCCCCACCAGAAATTGGTGATCAAACTGTGCACCTCATCGATAGTCCCTTCCAGAATCTTGAACACCGACATCGCATATGTGAGCTGAGCTTGAGCCACCGATTTAATGAGGATTTCGCGTGCAGCTACGGACATTGTCTTTTCCTTCCACCCTTTCAGCTTTGACCGCACCCGCTCCTTTAGACCCGCAAAAAGATCCTTCTTGGCCCGACCCACTTCAGTGAACAGGCCGAGATATTTTTGGTGCTTCTCCACTGGCTTCATCTCCAGAGTGCCGCTCGTGATCAGCCTACCATGCGGGTTGACATTCGCTGAGAATGACACCTCCGACTTTAGGAAATTAACCATCTATCCCGACTCCCGTTCATAGGCCTGTAAGATCTCCTTAAGCACCAGACATTCATTCTGATTAGCCCTGCCAAAAAAGATACTATCGTCAGCGAAAACAAGTGGGTAATCACCGGGGCACCCCGCTTCACTTGCAACCCATGCAGCCTGTTCTCATCAACCGCTTTGGCTGTATAGGTTGACAACCCCTCTGCACAAAGCAGGAAAAGGTACGGTGAAAGCGGGTCACCCTGCCGAATCCCTCTGCCCGGAGTGAAGGTCTGGGACTGATGGCCATTCACCAGGACAGAGTAGGAGACGGAAGTCACTCCCATCATGATCAGCTGTATCCACCTGTCAGCAAAACCCATGCGCTTCATTACTCCCTCCAGAAAATGCCACTCAACTCGATCATAAGCCTTGGCCATGTCGATTTTTGCTGCAAAGAAGCCATGTTTCCAGCGCTTGCTATTTTTCATCGTATGAAAGCATTCGAACGCCGCCATGATATTGTCCGTGATGAAACGGCCTGGGATAAAAGCACTTTGCGAGGGCGAAATTATCTTATCCAATAAAGGCTTGAGGCGATTAGCAAGCACCTTGGACACTATCTTGTACATCACGTTACACAGGCTGATAGGTCTGTAGTCCTTCGGGGTAGCAGGTTGCTTGACCTTTGGGATAAGAGCTATCAGGGTGTGGTTCAGCCCTGCAGGCATAGCACCCGTTTTGAGAATCTGGATAACTGCTCTTGTTACCTCCTCCCCGACAATATTCCAATATTTCCGGAAGAAGAAAACAGATAGGCCATCTGCGCCCGGGGCCTTGCGCTTCCCCATCTGCTTCAGTGCGCCCCAGACTTCCTCCTTATCAAAAGGTCGTAGCCGCATAGCATTATTATCCTCTCCTACCTTCCTTTTTATTGATTCAAGAACCGGCCAAGAAGTGGGTACGGGACCTGCCGTGAAAAGAGACTCATAGTAGTCAACCATGCACATTGAGACCTCCTACTTTAATTCAATGGTCATGCAACTGTAAACTTTTATAATTTCGTATTTTATAAATATGAGAATTTATCATTTCATTTTGTAATATCGTATTTTATTTAAATATGAATGTATATGTGATTTGTTAGATTCACCTAGAAACACTTTATGCTCATCTTGTACATTGTACATTATTATTTGATTGATTGTCGGATTCCACATCGGTGAGTTAGCAAGAAGATGATGAGTTGTAGCAATAAAGCGAGCAATTGGCTGCAATTGATACATAATATTGCGTACATTATTAGATGAATTGTTTTTTTATGAAGGATTATTAGATGAATTTTTAATTAGTGCCAAGATGAATTGTTAATTAGTGCCATATTGTAATACATTTCTATATGTTGAATTATTAATCCACATAGTGGTAAAGATTTTAAAATTTCTTTCTATGTTTTGGATTAGTTTTAAATGAAAGATTTGGATTATAATATAGAAATATAATTAAATAAGGGTAACTAGGTAATTTGTATTTAATATCCACAAATCTAATAAAAGAAAGTCCATAATCAAATCCATCAAGCAAACAATAGACTTGTTCAAATTCATAATGCCACCAAATCCATCATATATCCATGGTTTTACAAAACCCAGGTTTTACCAAAACCCTCATTTTTCAAATCCATGAAGCAAACGACCCGCAAATGGAATTGGGTACCCGTTTCAAACGGGTCGGGTACCCGATCCCGTCCCGTTTTCCACCCCTATTTCCCATATCAGGCATCTTGGTCTTTGATGGCTGTACAATTTACTATTGCATAGTCCTACATTCTAAATAACTACCACCTAAAGTACCACCCTAGACTATGTTAGCGAACTAACGACTTGGCTCCAATAACTCGAGTTGTTAGAAAATGGATAGTTAAACCTTTTAACGTATTATAGACTATGCTGGAGATGTTCTCTAGGGGAACCATATTGCAACCGCAAACATGATTCGGCTGAGCCTTCAGGTTCCAGATACCTGAAACTGCCCTGCTTGGTAAGACCGTAAGAGTTTCTTCTGAAGCTCGATCGTGCCAACAATAGCAGATCCTTCAATCTCCGGCTGTTCCGTAGATTTCCCAATGACATCATGCCTGAAAACTATGAGGCCAGAAGCAACTCGCGAAAGCCATGGGCGAAGATGATACCCTTTCCAGTTGTCTTCCCTTCAAATACTAACAACTTGACAGCACAACCAGGTTGAAAAAAAAAAAAAGTTTTCGTAGCAACTTCGAGCCTTTTGTTTGATGCCTTCCAGATATTCAATCTTTCATCCAATGCCTTGCCTTTGTAGACAAACATACCTACTTTCACGTGTAGAGGGACATTCCAGCTTCAAAACAAGCCATTAATCTCAAATTTCCATAATCTAATCCTAACTGAGGTCGACCGAAAAATGTAAGTTACAATGAATTACAAGGTACCATAGGCGCACCCTAATATATTTATTTTTTTATAGTAAACCGTGAGCTATTTTCAGATTTTGTAAAGTTTCGAAGTCGATCAGATTCGACGAGCAAAGGTGGTATCTTTCCCGTCAAGTTATTGTTAATCTTGATTGACAAGCTTCGACAATGACCTGAACTCCGAGGGATCCTCCCTGTAAGTTATTGAAGAATAATCTAATGATCTTGAGCTAGGAGCACTGGAAATCTTGTGTTTTAAATAATTTCAGGCGCCTTAAAGACCTCTTTATCTATTACAGAACAGAAGTCCTGGAGGGATAACACGAATATGGACATATGGTTGATGTATCCGACTAATGTATTCGAGAAAGATGTCAAAGGCCAAACTATAATTTCCTGGAATAGAGATAATAGAGTGTCTATTCAGAGCATCCTACGCTACAAACTGAAAACCTTGGGAACGATACAAATTCAAATTGTACAGCACAGCAATGGTTTTTGTCATGGCAATTGGCATCAAACGACCCTAAGGAGTATATTTGAGAGGTACATTCCTTCTGGGTAGGATGGGTCGACCGGGTGGTCAGATGCTGCTCCAGCCTGGCGGACAATGGTAATCTTCTTCCCAGCCGTCAATGCAGCACCCTGGTGGAAATGTAAGAATCGAGATTTGAGTGAGCCAAAATTGCTGGCCATGAACGTAGTAGACCTTAAAACTCGCTAGTTATAGGACCAGGAACTAAAGTAATTGATGTATCTCTAAGAGTGGGTGGTTTAAATGCATCAAGATACAACAACAGGGGGTACTTGCCTGGAGTATGCGCATGAACGTTCCACTTTGCGTCATAGCTCCTGAACACGAACAAGTCATGAGAAGGCCACCTCTCTTCACTAGTCTCATGGCTAGGGTGTTGAGATTTCTGTACATACCAGATGCACTCCGCAGGTCCTAAACGAAAAATAAAAAATCAGCTGAAGCAATCCACTCCAATGTCGCATGAACATAGACAAGCATGGATGTGAATATACTAAACTCTTATTAGTCACCTCAGCTGAAGCCGAACAATTTTCTTGGCAAGTAGCTGGGGAAACAAATATGATCCTTCAGTGCTTAGTATACATACCTTTCGTGAAGGTGCGAGCTTAGGAGGATCCAGAATAACAATATCCCACGATTCATTCCTGGCAATAGCGCCCTTCATAAACTGAGCTGCATCTTCTTTCAAGAACGATATTTTTTCTGGATCAAGGTTGTTGAGGACCACATTTTGGCTGGCGAGTTCCAGAGCAGGCAGCGAAGTGTCAACACCTGGGAAATTATGCAGAGGTATCAGGGTGTGCACTATTCTACTTGTAAATACGTTGACAGCCTGTTTTGCATCCGTCTCAAGTTGGAACCTTAAGCAAAGTTCATGACATTGGTTGGTTAGGAAGGAGACAACTGAGAAATAGCAATCCTCATTCACATTGAGCACAAGTAGAGTGACACCAACTCACCCAACTAAACAGAAGCATTAACAATGGAAGGGGAAAATAGATGTCCCTAATCAGTTGCATAGATTATCCTTTGGAAAACAAACCTGTTGTCTAGTAACATGAGAGAAAGAACAAAGAAAGAAAATTGTTTGAAAGCATAAGTACCTGTAACATCTATGGCACCTCCCCTGGCAGCATTGAGAGCAAAACCCCCACTGTAGCAGCAAATATCAGCAACTTTCTGGCCTTGGGAAATTGTTGATATGAAATGTCTGCTCTCGCGCTGATCCGCATAAAATCCAGTCTTTTGGCCCGCCAATGATATTGCGTATGAAATCCCATTTTCGACCACCTAAGAGTATGGCATGCATCATGGAAATATCCATTACAGTGGGAAAACCCAACAAATAGAAGGGCACTGGCATGGAAGAGAGACATATTATGCAGAGAGTGGGCATGAAGGAGAGAGCAGTGCCTCACTATAACAAGAATGTCTCTCTCGCTTTCTCTCTCTCCCTCCTGCCAGCCATTATGAGAGTGAGGGAGAATAAGAGATTACATGCGCAGAGTGTAACCTCGGGGGCTTGTTTGTAATGCACAGCAGCATAGAGTTATCAAATCTACCTGTGTTGTTTCAGGACAAGAGGAAGGTTGAATGTCTGGTTTGATAGTGGCAACATCCAGACCTTCTTTCTTTAGGATTTCAAGGGATGGTCTCCAGTTGATATGATTAACTCCGTCGATTGAACTGATGCATGCCTCCACCTCCTGTCTGTACTTCTCAACCCAAGCAGCAGAAGATGCCACCACAGCCAAATCCCCAAAGATATCGACTATCAATCCTGACAATCTTAAACACAGACAAGTGCATTAGACACAATCACACAACCTTGAATTGCTTTCATATTCGTTAGCTAGCAGTCGTTGAGAAATAACTCAGATGCATCAATGTGCCAAACCTGTCTCCTTCGCCATTAACGAGTCTGTACGCATTGGTGAGGCGAGAAGGAAGCCCAAGCCTCTTACGTAGCTCTACAGCTTCAGCAATCCTGGACTGAAGCAGCTTCTCCATGTTGAGAGCACAACAAGGATCACTGCACTGCGCATAATTCAGGACGAAAGCACATTGTTCACTAGTCGCTAGTATTCAATTACCTATCACGAAAGACAGGGAAAGTGAGAGGATAGAGGGAATAGGGGGAAAACCTAATTGCTTCGTGTTCAAGCTGCATAAGCCGGACGGCGTACATGGAGGCGGAATTGTAGAGTCCCCAGGCAATCGGCTTTTCGGTGGCGTCAGAGACAAGGACGGCGTCGCCGGTTGTGGGAGGTGGGCGGCCAATTATCCTGTCCACGGCTCCACTGAACACCATTGGCGTGCCTTCCTTGAACAGCTGGGTCTTCCCTTTCTTCAGCACCACATTCGCAAAACCTACTAGTTTCGAGTTCGGAGAGAGAGAGAGAGAGAGAGAGAGAGAGAGAGAGAGAGAGAGAAGAGCGAGAAATTCCAGATTGGAGCATTAGAAATCATAAAGCAAAGAGGGGATTCGACAGCAAAGCTATGGAGTGCGGCGAGGCTGAGCTATAAAGATTTTGAGACCTTTAGGATGAGAGGAGGCAATGTCCTGAAGGGTGGCCGCGGCTGTGGCTGTGGTCATTGCCGTTTTAGTGACGGCGACAGCCGAAATGGAGGAGAAGGGCGAAGGGTACATGGTGAGGCGCGCCGGAAGCTGGCCGACGACCGTCGCCACCGTCGTCTTCATCTCCCACTGCGTGCTTCTGCTTTGGTAATGGATGAGTCGAGTTGCCCACTAGCCTCCCCAGACTCAGGTTTCTGGTATGATTTCATTTCCCCATACCTATTTGTGGGTTACGGGCTTACGGCCTACGGTACCGGTCGGGTCGGGTCGGGTATTTTGATGGATACGGGATAGTCTACCAGTTCATTTATTTTTAACAATTCCCTCAATAACTATCCAGAATCACCACATTAAGGGTCGTTTGCTTCATGGATTTAAAAATGAGGGTTTTGTAATTTAAAACCCAAGGATTTATCAAGGATTTGAGGCATCATAGATTTGTAACAAACCTTTGTTTGTTGGGATGTTTTTATCATGGATTTAAAGGTGTGAGATTTACTACTTGAAGTCAAAAATTACATTAGTGCCCTTTTCTATATGTTTGACATGTTTATGATATGTACACAAAACAAGGACAAAACTTCAAAATTACCTTACTATCATTTTCTATATGTTTGACATGTTTATGATATGTACACAAAACAAGGACAATACATACTATTAAGCATAATGTTGTCACATGGACAATAATAATAAACGAGAAAATTCCGTTTTAACTTTTAACGTAACATAATCAATTACCAATTCTTTGTCCTCCTTTTCAAAAGTAACATATAACAACATATATTAGAATCGGGAGAACAAAAAATTACACGTTCCATGAAAAGGTCAAAGAAAACTAGAACACAAGAAATGATATAAAAAATCTAACTCATGTTTGCACATTAATTGAACGTTTATATTATTCATTTATTGTTAATTATAATGTATAATAGTTAAATTTGAGGGCAACCTTGAAATATTAAAAGTGCATGAGGGTATTTGGGGAAAATCTCATCCAGGATTTATGCCATATTCCAAATCCCACATCAACATGTGGGATTTATAAGTCCGTGGGGTCCACGGATTTGGACCCTTAAAATCCGTGGGCCCCACGGATTTGGTCTCCAAAAAAGGTGCAAGCAAACAACGGATTGTACCTAAATCCTTGATAGTTGGTTTTTTTGTACCAAATCCTTGAAGCAAACGACCCCTAAGTCATTAACCCCTGCCCGATAGAGATGGAATGAATCCCGAACTCACGAGTACTCACTTCGATCAGTACAATTATAACGAGTAAAACTTAAGTGTTACTGATTTTGGGTTGGATGTGAGTTTTATTCGCTTTGAAATTGACGGATTAGATTGGGTATCATTTTTGTCAAAACCAAATATGCTTCCATCCGACTCACACTCATAAAGCAAAACGATGTCATTGTGTATCTAACCAGAAAATATGAATAATTTATGGATGTTATTAGTCTTTATGGCAAATAAACCTAATAATATGGATAATTTATGGAAGTTAGTAGTATTTATGAAGATATGTTTATAGGAAATATTTGGATAACAATACGATGTGAGTGTTCGAACAATATTATGTTCATTAACCCATGGGTACCCATCTACCTATTGGTTGAGCGTTCACTTCTAAAACCCAACCCAAAGTGTATTTTATCATATTTTTTTAACAGGGCGTACCCCATTAAATTGAGTTTGGGTTTAGAAAAATCTGACTCAACCCAATCCGCTTCCCTACATGTCGATTCTCTCGTTCTACGGGCCGCCCCAACCATACAAGACCCGTTGGTGTTCACTAGGGATGTCAATCCAACCCGTAACCATGGGTACCCTACCCGACCGTAACCGGTCAACGAGGGTAATTACCCGCTTTGACGGGTTAAGGGGCGGGTACGGGTAATACCCGGTTTCAAAATAAAGGGTAGGGTACGGGTATGGTAATCGATAATACCCGCCCCGTTATACCCGCCCCGCTAATCAAAGGGTCAATTTCCCTTGGGAAATTTAGATTAGCTTGAGAAATTGAGTTTAGCTACCATTATTGATGATGAAGATGTAGACGATTATTATGTTTGTGTGGATTGTAGAAGCAAGAACAATTATTATGTGTTTGCTATTTTTATTTGTGTGAATTGTTGAAACTAGAACAGTTACAAGTATTGAGAATTTTTAATGGACAACAGTATGTACGTGCATATATGTGTATAAGTTCATAGTTTAGGATTCGTACCCATGGTTACCCGAATGCCCGTGGTTACCCGGTGGGTAGGGTATGGTTATATAATTTCCATACCCGGTGGTTATTTGGTCGGATATTTTAGAAGGCTCTACCCGGCGGGTTAGGAGTTGGTATAGGGTAAACCCGCACCCGACCCTACCCATTGCCATCCCTAGTGTTCACTGTCTTCTTCTCTAGTTTCGGATATTAGATAGAACTAACACCGATAAAAGAACTCATAGTTTAACATTTTTGTCAATTGTGTGCCCATGTTTTCCAAATGATAGTTTAGTATCCAAGTTTAGTATCCATTAACTTGGATAGTTAGGGATCAAAATGTAAATCATTGGCTGATGATGTGTCACATTTTTTTTTTGTCATTCAAACCATCTCCGGGGAGAGGAAGATAAGATCCATAAAACGTCAATTACAAACTCTGTAACCAAGACACATAGTCGAACCTCGACAGGACCCGAGGCGACAAACTCAGGGACTTTTTGGCCACTAAATGAGCCACCCTGTTTCTCTAATGACCTACAAATCGTAGTTCACAATTTCCACCGAAACCAGCCAGCAAGGATCCAATCTCACGCAAAATAGAACCCACCTTTAAATCCTTGACATCCCCAACCAAGCACTTGTCCAAGATCACTTTAGCATCACCCGTAATTAGCATAGGATACAAATGCCTACGAGCACACTCCCTCAAGCAATCCCTGAGTGCCAAAGTTTCCAAGACATAAGCATCCGCAATCCCTGATGATGTGTCACATGACGTGTACTCTTTTGTCACGTTCGGCCTGCGTTTCCCCTGTTCGGCCCATAGAGTCACTCGTCGGCCCACAATATAAGTTCTTCAGGACCTGTCTAGTGTCTACTCAGTTTGGAAATCTGATTGTAAATTGTAATCATCTCATCTGTCAGTCTGACAAGTCTTCAACATCTACTCTCCCCTTTCCCCATCCGATTCCAGTCCTCCATCGTTCATTGAGGGAATGGATCAGGTCAGTAACCTTATGGTGAGTAACCATGAGTAACCCATCCACATCAGCATGACATCAGCATCCTCTCTCTCATGGAAAGCCTTTAATTTTTCCCTCTTTAATCTTTGACGGACGATTTCTCGCTCATTTTAAGTCGAAATTTAATTTTTTTTGCACAGTTAGATCAAATTAATTGTGCTCTTCAAAATGATATCCACTTTAATATATTTTTCGAACAAAAAAATTGAGCCATTTTTTACCAGCCTATACCATATGGTATTGACTGATATTGAAATAAAAGCATACCTATGTTTTGAAAAACGTACCATGGTGGTATGAACAAACCAATACTAGGATGGTTGAATACATGATAGTAGAAGTATATTAATTGTAATTTACGACTTTTAAATTTGTATATCACACAATACCACCCCGTACCAGGGTGGTATTGTATGGTATTGTGTGGTATTTTTTGGTCCTGTAATTTGTTCACCCAGAAATTTGTAGATCCAATAGATCATGATGAACTCGTCCCTTCTGAGCAAACGTTTTCAAAAACGAATTAAAAACGAAGAAGATACCATACAATACCACCCCGGTATGGTATGCAGTTGGTACCGAGAGGCCAGAATTTTTTTTTCCTAAAAAAATTTTGAAAATTGATCTCATTTTGTAGAGCACGGTGAATTCGTTCCATCTGTGCAAAAAAAATTAAATTCCGAGTTAAAACGAAAAAGATATGAGTCAATTAAGAAAGCTAGTGAAAATAAAAATAGTCTTTAATTCTCCATCCTTAAATCTGGATTTTCTAAATGAAGGGTCCAGATTTGGTTATTGATGGGTGCACCCTATCTTGAGCCGTTCATTGAGGCGGGGAGAGCATAATGTGCACAGCTTCGGGTTACGCCGGATCCAGCGCCGGTCGTGCTCTAGTTCGACGGACGGTGCTCGCCACGAAAGCATCCTCTACGGACTGTAGCTTCCGTGAAACGTCCGCCGTCTTCATCCGCTCCGCCGGCGACTCGAGTGAGCAAGCTATACCGATTTCCACCACCGAAACCAAACAACTCCTGTACTGACTCGACCTCATCAACCTCTCCTCTGCTAATTCCCTGTCTCGCTGCCGCAATGCGACTGCTTCAGTGATCTCATCGTCGCCACCGCCACCGCCGCCGCCGCCGCATTCTCCCTCCGCCGCTTCAATTCTGTCGCCATCGAGGAAAAGCACCGGATCCAATACCGCAGATATCATGTCTGGAAGCCCCGCCCTCACAAATTCTTGGAGATTCCGGCCGTCTCTGAACATTTGGTCGGTCGGTCTTTTCCCCGAGAACAATTCCAGCAGGAGGATCCCGAAGCTGTACACATCGCCTTCTTTCGACGCAGCGCCGCCCATTCCGTACTCTGCCATGATTCAAGCACTCGCAGTAAGCATCACTTCATTTAACTTCACGAATTTAGGAAAGTAATGGAAATGATGTCTAGGGTTTATGTTATAACCTGGAGGAGTATAACCAATTGTTCCTTTGATGCCAATTGTGCTAGATGAAGCGGTGTCCTCTTCCCCCGAAAGGATCCTTGCAATGCCGAAATCACTTAGATGAGCAACCATGTCGTCGTCGAGAAGCACATTGCTGGGCTTCAGATCACAATGAACAATTGGGGTTTCGCAGAGGTCGTGAAGGTAGTGTAGCGCGGATGCCACATCGTTCGCTATGTTGAGTCGTTGAACCAGGTTCAAACTCCGCGAACTATCCATGTCGTGCAACCACTTCTCCAAATTCCCATTCGCCATGTACTCGTAAACCAGAGCTCGGAATTCCTCTCCGTTGTTGTCCAGACTGGAACAGAAGGACACAATCCTGACCAGATTTCGATGCCTAATGCTTCTCAATGCATTGCATTCCGCAGCCAAGCTCTTGTAAGCTTTCCTTTGTTCCAGCTTCAGTACTTTGATGGCTACAATTGTGTCAGTGTCCTCCAGTTTGGCTTTATAGACATTGCCAAAGCTGCCGGACCCGATCAAGCAATCTGAAGAGAATCCATTTGTGGCTTTGTAGAGGTCTCTGTAAGAGACCCTCATAAAGCTGGGCGATATTGAATATTCTTGAGATGGATTCTTCTTCGACCTTCTCGCCTTGAAGATCAATAGAAAGGCTGACAATGAGAAGAATGATAGACCCACACATATAGAAATAACTGCGAGGTATATTCTATGCAAATGGATACCATGATGCTTGGTAGTTTTATCAATTGGGCATTTTGGGAGATGGAGATCCAATACACCACCGCAGAGCATACTATTTCCTGCTAATGATAGTCCACTTGCATTCGAAAATATGCCTCCCATTGGCACCTGGCCTTGGAGATGATTGAAGGAAAGATTGAGATACTGAAAGTTAATGTTCCTAAGATCTGGTGGAATCTCGCCATGTAAATCATTGCGCGAAAGATCCAGCACGAGAAGGCCTTTCAGAGAAGCTAAAGATGGAGGGATTGAACTGCTGAAAGAGTTCCCCTGCATATAGAGATATTCCAAGCTCTTGCAGTTGCCGATGGCGTTTGGGATTTCCCCCGTCAGCAAGTTATGAGAAATATCCAAAGCATTCAGATAACCCAACTTTCCGATATCTGCAGGCAGGTTGCCCGTAAACTTGTTTCTCGACAGATTCAATAACATGGTTAATGAAGGAAGAGTGAAAACCTCACCAGGTATGGCGCCAGAGAGAGTATTCCCTGAGACGTCCAAGTTTATCAACTGGAGACATGACCTGATACCTGTCGGAATAACGCCGCCGAGTCTGTTGTTGGAGATGTCGAGGTCCGACAATAGAGTCAAGTTGCCGATGGTAGCTGGAATTTGACCTGATAGCTGATTTCCCGCCAAGTGCAATGACTGCAAATTTGGGAACTTGGTGAAATAGGATGGAATTACTCCTCGAAATCGGTTAAACGAGAGACCGATGTTATTCAAGTTGACGAATTTCTCCAAGCCGGCAGGGATGTCTCCTGTCAATTTGTTCGCCGATACGTCAAATTGAATGAGCTGGACCGAGATGTTAGCTATGGAGCTAGGTAAAACGCCTCCAAACTTGTTTGCACCCATGGCAAGATATTCCAGTTGCGTACAGTTTTGCAACCCTGTGAAGAACTCAAAGTCGGTCGCAGAATAAGTGCCAAGTTGATTAAACTCAAACGCTAGCGAGTATAGGCTGGGCAAATTCCCGAGGCAGTTTGGAATCTGTCCCACAAGATTATTTCTGTTAATGTCGATTATCTGTAGCTGTGTAGCATTGCAGAAAGAATCCGGGATCGAACCCACGAATTGGTTCTTCGAAATACCAAACTGCTGGAGATTCGGTAGAGTGAAGCCTATATCCTCCGGCAAACGACCTGTGAACTGATTCCAGGGTAGGCCGATGATGCTCAAGGATGTAATGTTAAACAGGGATCGAGGAATTGGGCCGCTAAGTTGGTTCCCGCCGAGAGCGAACTTGTACAAGCTTTCTAGGTTGCCTAAGCTCTCCGGAATTGTTCCCCCCAAGTTGAGAAAAGGAGCTCCGAAGTTGATAAGTTTCGACAGGTTCCCCACTGATGGCGGGATCTCTCCTGTCAGGTTGTTATCTCCAATCCTGAAGAACACGAGCTTGGACAGTAACCCGATCCCCCAAGGGATGCTCCCCTGTAAGCGATTGTACTGCAAATGAATGATCCTGAGCTCGGAGCATCGTGTCAGGTTGTCAGGAATTTTGCCTGAGAGAGAATTCCTACTGATATTTAGGTCTTGGAGGCGAAGCAGGTTGCTGATTTCCACGGGGATCTCGCCGTGGAAAGTATTGTTATCCAGGCTGATAGCCCGAAGGAAGCTGAGGTTGCCAATGTATGGAGACAGAGTGCCAACCAGGTTTTGCTGCGGGATGGCTAGAGATACGACTCGTTGTTTGCCGTTGCAGGAAACCCCGACCCAGTTGCAGAAATGGACCGAATCGTTCCAGGACCGGAACACTCCATGAGGGTCGCTGACAATTCCTTTTCTGAATTCGAGCAAGGCGAGTCGATCTGTTTCGTTCGTGCTACTGCTTGAAGCATTTGCCGGCGACGCGAGGAAGTTGATCAGTGGGGAGAGGAGGAGGAGGTTAACAAGAACGAGCAGGGAGTAATAGATTGTGGTAAGAAGCAGGATAGAGTTTTTTGACATTTTCTTTTCCTTGATTCTTCTTCATTGCTGGAGTGGAAGGTCTTTGTTGATAGTTTTATAGCCGACGGTGGCAGTCTTCCGACGATGAATGCTTTATCAAATAACAAGAAAATGACGTTCCTCTAGAGTCAATGCAAGCTGGGACGCCGGTCTGAACAAGTACACATACAATAACAGAGGTAGTTCAGTTTTCTGGGTTTTGTTCGATCTCTACACATGAATCACAAATCTGTCACGTTATGATAGGTTTTATGTCATTTTTATATACAGAAGGATTGACCTAACTGGTAATAGTCGACAAGATGGTCAATATGTAGTGGTTATAATTTATAAACGAGTGATGGAAATTGCATCCGGCTAATGTCACCCCCTACTAAGTAGGGGTTTGTGATCTAATAATGAAAAATATATTATACTACGGTTGGTTTAAGTTAAGTCTGATTTGGTTCGATTCAAATGTTGATTTGGTTCATTCAGTATTTCTAAAATTTATGTGACGAAGAATCAAAGCACATTATATTCAGCTCGATAGAATTCGAATCAACCAAACCGTTGCACACTGCTAACAACACTTCCTTTATGTTTTTTCTCTTAGATTTTTGTTACTATATGTTATTTTGAATTAATTTGTGAAGAATTTTTTTTTTAATCTAACAAGATAAAAATAATACTTTTTGGATATGCTTTTATTTTTCATTAGAGAAATATCAATAACATTAGCAGAGGTTAGGGTGCTAACACTCAATTTGTTAGCATGACGCTAATACTACTTTCAGTCACTGTAAACATTTTGATTTTGATAACTTTTTTATTCTAAAGAATTGACCACAATTAATGCAAATTTTTAACTGGAAGATCACGCTTGTAATTTTTAAAAATTATAGGGGCCAAACGCTTCCGCTCTCGCCACAAGTATCATGAAATATACCAAAAAACATAGATAAGAAATATAGCAAACCTCACCATAAATAACATAAAATAGACCACAACCTTACCACCACAAAATTAATAAAGCATATTAGAAAACTCAAAGATGACCATAAGTTTCTTAAAATATACCATAAACCTCATACGGTAGACGACAAGTTCTCTGAAACATATCAGAAATCCGATACACAGACAACAAGTTTCATAGATCGCTTTAGTTACAACTTGTAAATCATGCTTTAATACCACCTTGTTAACATTTAATGAAAAGGAAACTGACAAATTCTTCATTGATGAACTGAACAAACTATAAGTACACAATTCTAGCCACCTAGGCCATCACCAACAGATTTCAACCCCGTATTCCTAGCTTTCTAGCTCACTTCTAAGTTCTTACACTCTTAAATTTGACTCTACAATTGAGCTAAACGATCTCAATTAACATGACAATAGTCACAATATTCTCTAAGTGTAACTTATTCGCAAAATAAAGAACCTAAAACTAAATTAACCAAACGACTTGATTCGAATGCTGATGCATTGCCGCCGGTCCCCCAACGACCCAGGTTCGATCCTCAGCAGATGCTATAAATGTAAGGGAGCTGCTCTCGCAGATTCCCCGGTTACACCGGATCCAGAGCTGGTCGTGCTCTGGTTCGACGGACGGTGCTCGCCAAGAAAGATTCCCTAATGGACTGTAACTTGATTGAAACGTCCATCGTCTTCATCCGCTCCGCCGGCGACTCCAGAGAGCAAGCTATTCCGATTTCCACCACTGAAATCATGCAATTCTGGTATTGGCTTGACCTCATTACCCTCTCTGTGAAATTACTGTCTCTTTGCCGCAATGCGACTTCTTCTTCAGTGATCTCATTGTTGTTGCCTTCTCCCTCCATCGTCGGTTCAATTCCGTCTCCAACGCCGGGTAAAAGCATCGGATCCAATACGACGGATATCCTATCTCGCAGACCGATCCTCACAAAGTCCGGGAGATTCCGTCCTTCTACGAACATGTGGTCAGTAGGTCTTTTTCCAGAGAACAATTCCAATAGTAGGATGCCGAAGCTGTAGACATCGCCTTCTTTCGACGCTATGCTACCCATTCCATACTCTGCCATGGTAAACAAAAAAAAATTTGTTGGAATTGCAGAAATGGGAAATCATGATTTAGGGTTTATGCTAACCTGGAGGGGTATACCCAATTGTCCCTTTGATGCCGATGGTGCTGGACAATGCAATGTCCTCCTCAGTCGAAAGTATCCTTGCAATGCCGAAATCGCTCAAATGGGCAACCATGTCATCGTTTAGGAGCACGTTGCTCGGTTTCAAATCGCAATGGACGATTGGGGTTTCGCAGAGGTCGTGAAGATAGTGTAGCGCGGATGCCACATCGATTGCGATGTCGAGCCTTTGAGTGAGGCTCAAACTCCGCGAAGAACCATCCACGGGGTGCAACCATTTCTCCAGGTTCCCATTCGGCATGTACTCGAAGACCAGAGCTCTGAATTCGTCGCCATTGTTGTCCAAACTGGAGCAAAAAGACAAAACCCTGACGAGATTTCGATGCCTAATGCTTCTCAATGCATTGCATTCTGCCGCCAAGCTCTTGTAAGCTTTCCTTTGTTCCAAGTTCAGCACTTTGACAGCTACTACTGGTGTGTCAGTTTCCTCCAGATTGGCTTTATAGACATTGCCAAAGCTGCCGGAACCAATCAAACAGCCTGAAGAGAACCCATCAGTGGCCTTGTAGAGGTCTCTGTACGAAACCCTCATGAAGCTCGGTAAAATTGGATAATCGAGAGACGGTTTCTTCTTCGACCTTCTCGACCTGAAGATCAATAGAAAGGCTAACAATGAAACGAGGCCCACTGAAACAGAAATAGCTGTGAGCCAAGTTCTCATTCTCTGAGACTTGTTGCCATGGCGCGCTACAGCTTTGTAAGTTGGGCATTTTGGGAAATGGAGATCCAACACGCCGCCGCAGAGCATGCTATTACCTACCAATGATACGCTGCTTGCATTTGAAAAGATGCCTTCCTTTGGCACCTGACCCTGAAGGTGATTGAAGGAAAGATTCAGATACTGGAGAAGGCTAATGTTCTGAAGATCCATTGGAATCTCGCCACGTAAGCTGTTGAGTGAAAGATCCAGCACTTCAAGGCCTTTCAATGAAGCTAAAGATGGAGGGATGGAACTGTTGAAGGAATTCCCTTGCAAGTAGAGATACTCCAAGCTCTTGCAATCCCCAATGGTGTTTGGAATTTCCCCTGTCAGAAAATTATGAGAAAGATCCAAAGCGTTTAAAGAATCCAACTTGCCAACTTCTCGAGGCAGGCTGCCGGTGAACATGTTGCACGACAGGTTCAGTAGTTTGGTCAGCGAAGGAAGAGCGAAAACATCCCCCGGGATAGCACCGGCGAGAGCATTCTCCGAAACATCCAAGTAGTTCAAATGCACACACGATCCGATGCCCGAGGGAATCAGGCCTTCTAGTCTGTTGTCTGAGATGTCGAGCTCCGACAACTGAGTCAGGTTGCTGATTGTGGTCGGAATTCGTCCTGATAGCTGATTTCCTTGCAGGTGCAAGCTTTCCAAATTTGGAAACTTGCTGAAGTAAGAGGGAATGATGCCGTGGAAGAGGTTGTTACTCAGTCTCAGCTCGTTCAGGTGGATGAATTTCTCCCAACTTGAAGGGATTTCTCCTGTCAACTGATTATTCGCAACGCTAAGTATCGCGAGCTGGACCGAGAGGTTAGCCATGGAGCCCGGTAAAGCACCTCCGAAATTGTTACTACTTATGTCGAGCCATTGTAGTTGTGTACAATTTTGCAGCCCTGTCAGGAACTCAAAGTCAGCCACAGAGTAACTGCCAAGGTCATTAATCGCCATCGATAGCCATTTGAATTCGGGCAAAGTCCCGAGACAATTGGGAATCCGACCCTTGAAACCGTTCTTGTTCATGTCCAGCATCTGCAGCCCCGTGGCATTGCAGAACGATTCAGGGACGGCCCCCACGAATTCGTTCTTGGAAATGGCGAACTTCTGGAGATTCGGCAGAGTGAAGCCTATATCCTCCGGCAAACTACCTGTGAATTGGTTCCAAGGAATGGCGATGACTGCAACTGACGTGTTGTTCAAGAAGGCTCTTGGAATCGGACCGGAAAGTTGGTTTCCGGCGAGAGAGATGGAGTACAAGCTGCGCAGGTTGCCCAAACTCGCCGGAATCGTTCCGACCAAGTTGAGAAATGAAGCTCCGAAGTCGATCAGGTTCGACAGGTTCCCCACCGAAGGCGGGATTTCCCCTGTCAGATTGTTCTCGTGAATCCTCACGGACACGAGCTTCGACAGCGACCCGATCTCCCGAGGGATCCTCCCCTGCAAGTGATTGAACTGCAAATTAATGATCCTGAGCTCGGAGCACCGCGTCAGGTTGTCTAGAATTTCCCCCTCGAAAAAGTTCCTGCTGAGATTCAATTCCCGAAGGTGGAGTAGGTCGCTGATTTCCTTGGGGATCTCGCCATGGAAAGCATTTCTATCCAGGCTGATAGCCTGGAGGAAGCTGAGGTTGCCAATGTATGGAGACAGAGTGCCCGCCAGGCTCTGCTGCGGGATGGCTAGAGATATGACTCGTTGTTGGGCGCTGCAGGAAACGCCGAACCAGTTGCAGAAATGGACCGAATCGTTCCATGACTGGAAGACTCCGTTCGGGTCGCTGATGATTCCTGTTCTGAATTCGAGCAACGCAAGTCGATCTGTTTCGTTCGTGCTGCTGCTCGAAGCAGTTGCCGGCAACATGAGAAAGTTGATGAGCAGGGAGAACATGAGGGAGTAATAATAGATTGTAGTAAGTAGTATGGCAGATTTTGACGACATTTTTTTGTATTCTTTCCACTGATTGTTTTTCTCTCTCTAGCAGGGGAAGGAAGGAAGGAAGGAAGGAAGGAAGGAAGGAAGGAAGGAGAAGATTGTGATGATCTGATCACATTGGCCGGTGTAAGTTCCGCGGTTTTCCTGAAGCTCTTGTAGCCGACGATAGCAGAGTCTTCATCGACGAGATCTTATGCGTATCATTCAATCAATGAAGTTAGTTTGAAAGTTAAGATCTTAATGGGGTCCAATGACTAATCAAGGTTGGAAATTGAATATCTAGTATTAATCTTGCATGGAAGTTGTTGTCGATGTTGACGCTGAAGGTTGGAATTGTTACAGGAGCTGTTTCCAGGCTCGCAATCAATGATATGTTTATATGTTGTATTATTGATCAATAAGTGTAGTAGAACTAATAATGGCTCTATAAAGTCAATGCAGTGTTGAAAAGATGTGGTACAGTAAAGTATCCGTAAGTTGACATAGCCATCAATTTTTTTGCCCAACTTGTGAACAAAAGAGGAAAGCTTCTAAGCAGTCTACATCAAAGGGCGTTTCGGAATTTGTAATTGGTTTAATACACTTGCATAGCCATAACTTTCCATGTTTTGACAAATATAGCCAAATTTTGAATAATACACTAAAATAGCCATTCCGTCCATAAGTTTAACGGAACAATGATACATGCTGACTGGACTAATGTCATTTGCTGATGTGGCCGACTTTTCATCTCGATCTTGCCAAGTTTGAAATGACTTATTTTATTATAATATTAAATGGAAAAAATTAAAAATAATAAAAAGAGACTTGAACTCCTTCCCTGCCATAGCATCCCTTCTCGTCGCCGCCTCACCTTCCCTGCCGTGGCATCCCTCCCCGTCGCTGCCTCAATACACAAACCCAATGGAACAAACCCTCAATATACAAACTTATGCCATGGCATACTCTTCTTCGCAAATACCCAATATACAAACCCAATGGAACAAAAATTCCCCAATTCAAAAATTCTCAGCAGCTCGGGAAGGCGAGAACAGAGATATAAGGGGTGGGTGGCGGAAGGAGGAGGAGCGGGTCGGCGATTCCCAGATCTCTCTCCCAGCAGATGCGGGTCGGCGATTGCCAGATCGACGATTCCGAACTGTATAGCACATCGGATTGGTTGTGGTTGTTCTAGGAATTCTTAGCAGATGCGGTGATTGAGATCTAGCTGGCGAAATCTGGGTGAGATCTTCGACCCCACTCTCACCTTCTGTTGCTCTCCCTCTCCTCCAAGACGATTGTCGGATTGTCGCTGCTACGGCCGCCGCCAATGTCACCTCGTATGACATCATCCTTTAATGGGTCACCGCCGTTGTCGTCGGGAACCAGCTTCCCCATCCCTTGTGTAATTAACCATGTCTCTCATCTGAAAAGGAGAAGGGAAAGTAAAGACGGCGAAATAATGGCGACGGCGGCTCATCTTCATCGAGCTTCTTCTGCAGGAAGAAAAGAGGGGAAGATAGACCCAGTTTCAAACTCGTCAAAATCGGAAATGAGATGGAGATTTGGAGATCAATTAAGGTTTGTTGAGGTTAGCAAGAGATTAGCTTAGCGGTTGCAATGTCTTAAATTGGAGAGGTCGGCGATGACAAGGGAAACAATCACGTGAAAGCTAAGTAGGGGAGAAGCTCTGGCGGCGCCGATGGGGGACGATGGGGTCGTCGGTGAGAAAGGGACGAGATGGAAGAAGGAGAGCCCGATGAGAAAAGTGAAAAAAGAAATAATTTTGAAATAATAATTTTTATTTTATTTTAAATATGATGTGGCAGCTAGGTGACATGATTTGGTGTGTTGGAGGTGATGTGAGAGCTGAGGTGGCATCCACATCAGTGTGCTGTTAACGGTGTTAAATCTTTTAACGGAAATGGCTAATTGTGAGAAACATAATTGTTGAGAGTCTATTTGTTATTTCGTATTATTCAGATATTGTCGGATAGGTGAATTATGGGGGTTTATTCGGTTAGGTTAATTATTCGGGTAGTAAACAGTAATTAGTCAGGTTATATAAATATGATGTTATGTTAGGTCAAGGGCAGGCAATAATACAGAATTGTTCCCAACTCTCTCTCTCTCAACTCACCCTAGCCGAACCCCCCCTCCTCTTCCTCTCAACTCGGCGGCTCCCATCCCGGGAACCGATTCTGCTCTCTCTCTCATCCCAAATTCCCCCCTTCTTCCTCACCTAAATTCCCAATCCCTAGTTCGTTTAATCCCTAATTCGCACGCCTAGATCCGTGGTTCTCACAATTGGTATCAGAGCCTGGCTGGCGTGCTGATTACTGAGCTGCAAGAAGCAAGATGTCGAACACGGACAAACCGCAACAGCAAAGACAGGGCCAGGAGATCGTGACTGTGAAGGACATCACGCATAACAAGTACGACGCGGTCGTAACCACGTTGGAGAGCTTAACGGCGTCCACAGAGCGAGCCGCTGCTGCTTCCCGGAATTCGACCGAGGCCATAGAGGCGCTGGGAGAGCGAATTACTTCCTCGATTGAGGAGATGGGCACGACCATGACTGAGAAGCTGTGCAAGGCTCTGGCGGACACCATGACTCAGGTTTTGATCGGTGTGTTTCAGGGCAAGGAGCCAAACCCGGGAAACCGACCTGAGGCTGTGGAGAAGATGGCGGCGGCGGTATCAATGGCCGCCGAGAGGAAGGAGGCCGCCCCGCCAGGAGCGACGGTGGGCGCGGGAGGCGGCGCGGCTGGAGGCGCGGCTGGAGGCGGCGCGGCTGGAGGCGCGGGTAGCGCCGTGGAAGGGGAGGCGGGCGGCGCGCTGGCTGCGGCGGCGGCGGCTAAGCCGCCAGGCGCTCTCGGCGGCAGGGAGGCCGCGGCGCCGGGCGAGGTGGTCGGCGGCGGGGGCTCAAGGGCGGCGCGGCCACCAGGCCCAGGGGGTCGTGGGGGCGGCTATCCCGGCGGGCCCAGACCAGCAGGAGGAGCGGGCCGGGAATCTGGTTCCGCACCAGTCTTCAGTGGGCCAGGTCTGCTTCCGGCTCCGACAGCCCACGACATTGCGGAGGCCCGCAGGCAGAAGAAGGTGGAGGAGTTCGAGGAATTGGGCCCGGACTATGAGGAGATGAGCTTCGCGGATCAGGAGGAGTGGGAGATGGGCCCTGGGCCCAATGGGCCCAACCAGAACCCGGTGATTGAGCCCATGCTGGACCAAACCGGTAGACCGGTTGGGTTGTTGGCCGACCGAACCAGTCACGGTCGGACCGGGATCGGTCGGACCGAGTCGGGCGGGGCCGAACCCGGCCGGACCGGGTCGAACCGGGGCGCGGGCCGATGGGCAGCAGCAGGTACGGTCCAGGAGGAGGGCCCAGGCGCGACAGACAGGGCCCCGAGGCTGGTTATCCGCCATGGGGCACTCCACGGGCCGAGGGGGGACGACCGGGACGCCGGTTGGAGGAGGGTCAAGGATCCGGAACGAAGGCTGGGGGAGGAGAGGTGTACCAGCATGAGATGGCCGACTGGGCCTACTCAGAGATGCAGAACGCGGGGCCAGAATACCGACATCCTGGGTCGGGCCATTCGATGCAGCCGACCGGCGGTAACAGGTACGGGTACAGCAATCCTCTGTATGACTATGAGGATGAGCTGGTGTTTAGGGCTAAACCGCCAGTTATTGAGTTTCCGAAGTTTGATGGCACTGGCGATGTGGGGCTGTGGTTGTATGCGGCTGAGAGGTGGTTTAGGAACCATCCGATCAGGGAGGAAAGGAAGGCGCATCTGGCGTCCTTCTACTTGGAGGGGGATGCCCTCCAGTGGTGGGAGTGGACTGAGCGGGCGTACGCAGCAGCAGGTGAGAGGATTTCGTGGGCTCGGTTTCAGGATGAGCTCCGATATCAGTTCGGAAGGGCAGAAGGCTGGGCCCCGGAGCAACTGGCCAAGCTCAAACAGACCGGGTCGGTAGCGGAGTATAGAGCGGAGTTCTTGAAGCTGGGAAACCAATGCAAGGAGATGACCGAAGAAACTCTGGTGGGGCTGTGCATGGCGGGCCTGAGGCCCGAGCTGGCCACAGCGGTCAAGGTCTTTGAGCCAGAATCTCTCCAGGTGGCTTTTAGAATTGCAGGGCGGAAGGAAGAGGAGCTGGCAAGCTGGAGGACCTCTGTGGGCAGGATACAGAGGGCCAGTGGTGGAGTAGGTGGCGGAGCTGGTACCGGGGCGGGAGCACCGGCGGCGGCAGCAAGCCCTCCGGCGACCGGAACCACTGCCGGGCCGCGGTTTCCGGCCAGAGCACCACCGCGAGGGTTCGTGAGGCTGACTCAGGCGGAGATGGACCAGAAACGCCGGGATGGGCGTTGTTTCAACTGTGATGAGAGGTATACTGTGGGCCACCAGTGCGCCAAGAGTCACTTGATGCTGCTAGTCGGGAATTGGGAGGATGAAGGCGAAGAAATGGAGAAGGGCGTCGAGGGAGAAGACAAGAAAGAAGAGGGCAAGACCCATGGCCCACCTTGAGGGCAAGGTGGGTTTCAAGGGGGATGGATTGTGAGAAACATAATTGTTGAGAGTCTATTTGTTATTTCGTATTATTCAGATATTGTCGGATAGGTGAATTATGGGGGTTTATTCGGTTAGGTTAATTATTCGGGTAGTAAACAGTAATTAGTCAGGTTATATAAATATGATGTTATGTTAGGTCAAGGGCAGGCAATAATACAGAATTGTTCCCAACTCTCTCTCTCTCAACTCACCCTAGCCGAACCCCCCCTCCTCTTCCTCTCAACTCGGCGGCTCCCATCCCGGGAACCGATTCTGCTCTCTCTCTCATCCCAAATTCCCCCCTTCTTCCTCACCTAAATTCCCAATCCCTAGTTCGTTTAATCCCTAATTCGCACGCCTAGATCCGTGGTTCTCACACTAATTATGTCAAACGAGTTTATAAAATGTGGCTATAATTGTGTATTTTTTTAAAAGTGGCTATTATTGTCAAAACGTGTATAATTATGGCTATGCAGGTGAATTAAACCTTTGTAATTTCATTGACGAGAGGGGTATATACAGGCAGTCGCAGAATGATGTATACGTATTCAAGATAAGTACGACTACTAATATTTGATCAAGCTGTGACACGAAATGATCGACCTGATAGGTATTATAAGTTGATCTGTGTACGAAAACAGTCAAGCTAACATGATATCGGTACAATTCCGGTGCCATTTGATAAGAATCTGTAGGGCGTATAGCTTCTCTGATTTTAAGGCACCACACCATCAATGCCTAAATTATCCATACAGATTCTAATGGGCTGCCTAATCAAAAGTTTGAAGGCCGTAATTTATAAACATTTTCAAAGTCAAAATTGACCACATATGACACACACAAAACTTACCAAGTACTGATTGGAAAGAAAAGAGAACAAATTGGCGAGAGCCAGATCATAAACTACAAGACTCGGAATACAATTATACAACTGCCAGCATCTTCACCAGCGGCAGTCTGCAAGATGCTGAAAATCCGAAAGATACAAATTTGAAGAATCTCTTCCTAAGGCGAGCAAGCATTTGGTGATGTGATTACAGAATGTCACTATTCTGATAAGCCGCAGACTTTTCCCAAAACAATGCACCTGCTGTACCAGGTGCTTGTCTGGCACAAAATTCTCGGATCCAGCAGTAAGCCCAGATATCAGGAGCAGGTCTGAGTTTCCTACCTAGAGCTGAAGGCGGCACCTTCATCTATCTGCAGATGTTGTACATATGTATTGTTCACTGTCTAAACCCATATCAAGTCCATGCCAGAGAAGTAAAAGCAATAAAACTTACATAGTTGACAAGCTCTTTCGCCTTTTCATCCGTAAAACCAAGTGTCTCCAGGATCCTTTGACCTGCAGAATCGGTCTCCGACCAAAGGCCTAGGAGTATATGTGATGGGGTTATTTCGCCATCATCCCCTGCGAGTCATACAAAACCCAGATAAGAAATAAAACCCCCACAAGAAAAAGAAACAAAAACTATTTCTTTGTGAAGAAAGTGGCAAATGATCTCTTTCAATGTTCATCATATAAAAGGGAACAGAGGGGCTGTTGTCCCTAGGTATTCACAAGTGTATTAATAGAGATTTCTATCGTTTAACATTTCCATGTATTCACAAGTGTATTAACAGCATGGAGAATTACACAGTACTCTTAAACATTTCCATGTTTCTGAACTCCATTGGTCTACCTGCCCAAGGTTTACCCCAATTCTTTGCATACTACACACATAAAGATCTAGAGCATAAACGGCAAAGCAAGATTAAGAAGCACTAATTTTGGCATACAAAGGCAACGCAGAAATTCAAGGGAAAAGACCACAGCAATCTCTCCAATGAAAACTAAGAAAATGTTCCAGGAATCATCTTACCGGCGTATAATCTCAACGCTGACACTTCTGTTTCAATGCTTCTAACAAACAGTTGATAGAACGTGCAACGTAAACCAACAACAAAAAACATCACCTAGACAAGCCAACTCAAGTTCCCCAATGAAGCAAAATTGGACCATTTTAGCGGCACATCCTTTATTTTACAAAGCTATCATTCGTTCATTCCCATCTTGCAACATTAGTCTGTCTATGCTCGCCAAAGAAGAAGCATGGACATACCCGAAGCACCAAAAGTTATACCAACACAGGACGTTCAAAGGCAAAGAATGTAACACAATACCTGATTTAAGTTTCTCTTCGATGGCCTTATCAAGGGCCCTTTGGGCCTGCTCAGTTAACGGGGGATGCTCAGGACTAAAGAAAAATAAGTCTGATTTCCCAAGCAAGTCTACAATTTCTTGCCTGACCTTGAAGAAAGTGATTCCATTAGCCCTTAGGAACTTTGCAGCTGAACTGGTTCCTGAAATATAAACCACAGACAAAGGTTTAGCAATTGTTAAGCAAGAATTGAAATTTTCAAGTAAATCAAAACATATGTAAACAGTAATAAACAGTAAACAACTCCTGAATTCTATAACCAGGATTCAGCCCCTTCCATTCTTTCAAATAGCAGCATCTCCCTAACAACTATACCAGGAATAAAGCAGCATCCTCAGTTACATTGCATCAAGCAACTCACAATTCCATAACCAGACTACTGGACTTCTACAACTCCATGGTTACAGACCAAATGTTAATCAAGTTCAACTGTTCAAGACTCAGTACACTGGAACATTTACAAAATAAAGCCCTCGACTTTATTCTCCCACAGCCTTACTGACCTTCAATCAAAATGCCCATGAGGATGGCTTCAGTTCCTGTATTCGGATACTTGAGCTTCCTCGCTTCCAATTCCCCAAATCCAAACGACCTAATAGCTCTAGCTGACCATCTGAACCACTCACAGAGAAACAACCCTCTCGAAATCAAACACCACCCATATTATGCTTCACAGTGAAGATGAAATCAGAAACGTTGCTTTCAATCCAAAATACCAATTAGACACGCACTTAGGAACTTTAGCTGGATCATATTTCCTGCGAAGAAACAAGCACCAAAAACAAAGTTTAACAAAAGATTCCTTCGCAGTACAAGTAGCCCGACCATTCAACGAAACTTACGTCGTGGGGAGACTAGACGAAATTCTGGCAACCGTCGGGCGACGCCATTTGAGAACAACGCTGCTCGAACTGAAGCGCCGAATCAGTAGCTTGTTTCCGTGGAAGGAGCTGGGCGAAAGCGACGACGGAGCGAGGCGGAGGCTCTCGGGCGGCGAGGTGGCTGCTGCCGATGATGAAATCGACAGAGCGGATAGAGTGGAGCTGGCCATCGCCGGCAGAATCGAGGCGGGCGATAATTGGATTTGGGTTGGAATTTCGCCGATGGGATGGAACGGGGTTTTGGTACAAACGACGATAGGACTGCTTGTTACTTGTTAGTAGAGCTGTCAAAATGTAACCCGACCCGAGTAACCCGCCCGATCAACCCGACCCGCAACCCGCCCGCAACCCGATTTGACTGAAAGTCAATGACCCGTAACCCGCCCGACCCGCAACCCGATTGACCCGCAACCCGATCAACCCGCAACCCGATCGACCCGCAACCCGATCGACCCACAACTCGATTAACCCGCAACCCGATTAACCCGCAACCCGACCAACCCGAACCTGTAACCCGACCAACCCGCAACTCGACTATAATAGAAGGAATTCGGTGAAAATAAACCATAAGTTGACATTTGAAATTCTAGTTCACTAAAGTCTGATCATTACGTCATCAATTATTGACTTAGTATAATAATATACATCATCAATCTATAATGAGTGTAATGGGTTAGGATATAAGGTATTAATGTTTTAGGCACGATTAGTCAAAAACTCAAAATAATAACTTATAACTAATAAGAATCGAGTTTTTTATTACACGTGTTCATGAATCAAACCATTAGAGGTTTAGGGTATATAGACTATAGAGTCGATGTATAGGGTATATGGTTAGTCTAATGGGTTAGGGTATAAGGTATTAATGGTTTAACAATTATTAGTCAAAATCATAACTAATAAGATCAACTTTTCTTATTAACACATGTTCATCAATCAGAATTCAAATTATTATGGGTTTAGGGTATAGGTTATAGAGTCGGCTTATAGGGAAAAACCTATAGTATCTTACTCTATGTCATCAAACAAAAAGACTATAGTTTCTGAGATTAACGCACATTAGCACTTTATATATAACACCCTTGATCAAATTAACGCACATAATGACACACATATCAAGCTTTAACGCGAATTGGGAAAACCCCAAATTGACCACCATCACCAACGGGGCCTCTTGCACTTCAATAGACGACTGCGGATCTTTGCTGCCTATGTGAGCCACCATGACCTTGGCCTCCATGTCTACCAAGTCTGGTAGCAAATGCGATCCAGCCCCACAATGTAAACATCATCACTGATACAGCAAGGCACGCAAAAGAATTCCTAGTCAAGAAAAGAAACAGGGGAGCAGCCTTTGTAAATACAGGGCATGCTACTTTCTTGTAAAGTTGAGAGATTCCATACCTGATATCTTCTCTGGCAGTAAGCATTATTCAATTCATTACCTTCTGGTAATTACTTTAGTTGCTCGACCACTTTGGCCCTTCCTCTTTCCTAATATTTGTTCTCGTGAAATTGAGAATCAATTAGTGCATATGGTAGGTTAGTTGATGATAGTGAAAATCAATCTATATTTACTTCTAATTGATACAATCAACAATTTCCTGAAACAAAGAAGGGCAATTAGGGTTAGTTGATGACAGTGAAAAAAGAAACCACACAGTAATCTTCCAGAAAATTCAGGGGCAACTTGAAAATCGCACCTTGTTGTATCATGCAACCATACTGATCCGCCCAGTGTCACAAAACATCTCCACTGCCTGACCTAGGCGAAATTGCACTCTGCATACAGTGTGTAAGCTTATTATATTGCTAAGAGAAATTAGGTGAAGCTGTTAGCTGAAGCTCCTGCTATAGAATTAGACAGAAATTGAGAAATTATGACCTAGATTCCTAAAATCAAACCAACCAAAAGTTGTGCATGTCCTAACCACCATTATTTTCATCAGAAGTACTCGTCGGGGATGACTCCTTCCTCCTCGAGGTTTAGAGCCGAAAGCCTCTCCAAGGCAAGGTGGCCTCTCTGCCGGAGATATCCAAAGTCAGCGTGCTTCCTTCCACGGTCAATGCCCCTTAGACAAATCAAGAAAAATAGAAAAAGTAGATTAGAACCCTAAGAACCAACAATAAATGAATCAAAATCGAGCATGCATTAGGTTTTATTAAGTTCGTCTTACCTCAGCAAAAGCCACTGGCGTCGTTTCATTCCCATAAATCCCATCGTACAATCGACCCGGAAAAGAGATGTAGGGAGAAATCAGATTGAGTAAAGAAGAGGGGGATTAGGTTACCTTAGGTTTGTATCTTTTTATTTGGGCGGAGTTTGAATCTAGGAAAGGAAGAGAAAAGTAGAGAAGAAGGATCCAACTTTTCTTATCTCTGCAAAAGGAAGAGAGAACGAGAGAATGAAAACAAGACTTTCTTCGTATTTGGGAAAGGAAGACAGAACGAGAGTTTAATTTGGTTTAGAATTTTGTGGGTGGGAAATTTTGGGCGGGGGAAAATGTGTGGGGGGAAACTTTTTCATTTTGGTGGGAATTTTTTTAAAGAGAATTGTTTCGTTTTTTCTTTTGGGAGCCAAAATTTCTTTCTTTACACTATGAAGTTTTTGTTTCACTTTTTCTGAAATCTTTGGAGCCAAACAAAATTTTTGGAGGCAATGAAAGTTTGGAGGGAAAAAACTTAAATCTCCCTCTTACAATTTGGAGCACAATTTTTTACGAAAGAAATTACCACAATTTTTAGTATTTTTGTGAAAAGAAAGAAGGAAAAAAAATTGGTGTTTTCAATTTTTTGGTTTTTCATAATTTTAGCTTTTGAAATATGAATCTTTAACTTTTATATGGAGGGCATGACTAGTTAAAATTATTCTTATATGCTTTGAAGGCTAATATATATATATATATGTATGTAATTGTTTATGGGCTAATAAATAAATTAACCATTAGTTACAGCAATTTATACTAAACTTGACAAGTAATCTTTGACGGTTCGTTGTTTAGGATATAAAGTATGAGGAATTTCACAATGCTATATAGTATTGGTGCTATAGGTTTTTGTTTTTATGGTACAACTTGAAATTGTACATTTAACGTTATGGTACAACTTTAGATTATACCTATACTGTTTGTATAAATTCTTTTATGGTACAACTTGAACTTGTACCTTTATGTGATGGTACAACTTCAAGTTGTAAATTTGTACCATAACATAATGGTACAAATTCTCTTATGGTACAATCTAAACTTATACATTTCATATTATGGTACAACTTTAAGTTGTACATTAAAGCACCAATACTATATAGCATAGTAGAAATGCTCATAAAGTATATGGTTAGGGTATAAGGTACATATGGTTTAGGGTGTATATGGTTAGGGTATAAGATATTGATGGTTTTGACGGTTCCAAGTTTTTTATTAACATATGTTCACTTGAAGTCATTTGAAGTCTTTAACGGCAGGAGATCCCTTTATAATTTATGTTTATGGTACGTGGTTAGGATACAAGGTATGTGGTGTAAAGTATAGGATATATGGTAAGGGTATAACAATTAGCAAATATCACTTTTTTATCTATGTTTTGAAAATCAAAGTATGAATTTCACTTTTAAATTAACTATACTAGCAAAATCACAACTCAAAGACATATGGTTAGGGTATAGGGTATAGGTTATGTGGTTAGGGTATAATGTATTGATGGTTTAGGGTATACAATCAACAACATATACTAACTTAATATTGTTGATTGAGGGTAAGGCTAAGTGTATAGGATATATGCTATTGAGTAAGTTATGATTGAAGTCACAATAATTTTACTAAATTTGATAGCTAATCTTTAATGGTTCAATTTTTAGGATAATTCGAACAATTTTACAAATAACTCGTTCGGCAACAGTTTACTGAAGTTATTTGCGCAATGAGTTATTTCGAAATAACTCTTTTTATCACTATGCTTTTGCCAAATACCACACGCCAAATACCAGATTTGCATGGTTATATACTAAACGAGATACTTTAATCCAAATACTACTGAATTAATACTAAAATGTCAAATAAACAATTAATGGTGTCTTTTGGTTGCAAATATTGATATCACCATTACTATTAGCTATAATACTTTACCAATTATGATTAATTACATAACAAGTTTGCAACTCGTACAAATTGATTTAACATTTTGACTAGTTTTTTTCAAAAAAATAAAGTATATATATACGAGGTAGAAATAAATTGGTTAAAAAGTTGAGAAAATATTTTAAATTATTGTAATAAAATGTGTAAGTTGGTAATGAGTAATGAGTTAAGTTACTTGATGCGCTGACCCGAACAACCCGAAACCCGATCCGCCCGCAACCCGCCCGACCCAAAACCCGATGAACCCGCAACCCGATTGAACCCGAACCCGATGAACCCGCAACCCGACTAACCCGCAACCCGTTTGAACCCGAACCCGATGAACCCGAACCCGATGAACCCGCAACCCGACTAACCCGCAACCCGTTTGAACCCGAACCCGATTGAACCCAGCCCGAACCCGCCCGATTGACACCTATACTTGTTAGACCGGGCCTTCCAATTTCCAAAAGAAATAGGCATTCAAATTGACGACTTGGTTGTGAATTGTGAGTAGTTCGCATCAATATCTAACGACTCATAAATAGGGCTTCTCCTCTGTGTCATGCACTTGACATGCCTGCAAATGAATCGAGCCGCTTGTTAACATCGTGACACACAAATCAAAAAGAACTCATATATCATTTAGCATGTTTCATAATGAACCAGATTGCGACCAAACTCGTTTCGTAAGAGTCTAAACTTGATCTAGGTCTTATTCGATTTGTGAGGCTCATGAATAATTCGATAAGGTACAAGCATAAAGCATATGTGTTAACGGTTAACTGTTAACTATACAATCAATAATTTACTCACTAATTAACATAATAGAATCTTGATTTAGGTTAAACAAAGGAAGTTGTTTTAATCCTTCCAACGGAAGGTTTAACTGGATCCAAAATATCTGAGTAGTCGCTAAGCACTTCACATATCACCAGAGGGGTTTGGGCAAAGGGAAAATAAATAAACATATGAAAACTTAGAGAGTAGTAGTCAATATATATGACATGAACATATCTAAGGAGATAACTCATATTTAGACAAGTTGTGGGTAGATGCATGGGTAAAACACCTGACGTACCATTAATGTCACGATTAGACACCTAAATCTTTGTCACTGTCCATGATATTTTTCACCAGATTAATGCTGCTTCTAGGGTTTGCTCCTTGATTTTGACT